CGTAAAATATACAGGGTGTTGCATTTAAATTAAACAAGTTATTGTCGTTTGAAGCTAATAATTATTTAAAATAATTTTTTAGACACTCTGTATAAGGTAGTATTATTTTTATTATTGCAACACAATAACTGATCAGTAGATAAACTTCAGTAAATATTTAGTATTAAAAACTTTGATACCCTTGGAGAAATGAAGCCTTAAAATTTTTACTGCAATTTCACAAAATTGAAAATATTTCAAAAACGGTAAGGTTTAAGTATAATAAACCTTAATCAAATTTACCTTTATTTTAATCGTAGAAACTAAAAATGTAATAATATACAGGGTGTTCCATTTAAAAAAATACAACTTTGATATTTTTTACTTAATTGGGACACTCTGTATCTTGTAAAATTATTTTTAAATTGTACCTCTAATAGTCCTTCATCGAACCCAAAACTTACAATTTGTAAAAATCTCATCGTTTAGCTACAATACTCCGTGTCGTATGTGGTGAACAACCCTGTACATATTATTAAAAATATATTCTTCTACTATTTCTATATCTAATCATGTAATTGTGCATTTTTAATTTAATGACGTTTGAGTACGTTCTCTTTGTATTTCAGTTATCTAGTCATAAATCAAAACAAAACATATTTCTCGCTGCTTAAGTTATTATATTTTTACGTAGTTTCGACTACGTTTCAACTGCCTTTGTTAATCCAATCTCGCATAACTCCAAGTAAAGCAAACTAAACGAAAATTATTGCGTTCAAGTTTGTGTCAGTTGCGCTGGCGTGGAATGCAAGTGTTGCAGATGAATGCGAACAAACACTTTGTCTTTAAATAAGAGATAATATTGTAAGGCAAGGCAAGAATGCAGCCTGAATTTATTATATCACGTTAATATGTGAATACAAACGCTCATAAACAGCCAAGTCGTGTTGTTTCTTTATATGTACTGTTTGAATATACAGTACAAGATTATTGCGTGATATTTATTATTAAAATTTGATGTTTATAAGGTTGTTAGGTAACTAAAAATGTTATTATCTAATTCTTAACTTCATTGGGAATTCCAATTGCATTTTAAACGCACAAGCAATAATCATTAAGAAATAATTTTTAAATTGCTGCAAAAATTTGTCATCAAAAATTGGTTTAGCCTTGGTATTGCAAATACATAAACTCTGTTCGTGATCGTAGATTAAAATACATGCAACAAACACGACAAGCGAATAAAGATTCTTCAAATTATCTCTTTAAAAAATTCCTATGAGTATTTCGCCACTTGCACTGAAAATCTACAAAACCAAATCGATTTTTTTTTGTAAATACTGCTTCGTTAATCCAACGTAAACCAACTTGTCAGCAGTGATTTACTAAAGCCCCATACTCACACTTCGCTACTTCACTTCGTTCCTTCCTCGCGTCCCTTCGTCCAAAAATCATATATTTACTATGGGAAAATGTCGATTTTATGCGACTGTGTGTTCCTTCCTTCTTCGTCAAAACGCTACTTCGTCCGTTTACTTCCTCGAAACGCCCCTTCCACGTGCTGTCGGTTTTTGGAGGAAGTAGCAAAAAAATTATCACGAACACAAAAAGTATTAAAAGATATAAAATATATAAATCGATCTTGGATTTCATTCGTAGTTGATTTCTTGATTTGGCAGTACGTTTGTACAGGGTGTACCATTTTCGTGTGTTTTGCAGGGTTTCTCGTTTATGAGTCGAGATACAAAGATGCGGTTTTCACATTACGCTGTTACTTTTTTATGAAACTAAAGATGCTAGACATACTACTACATACAGATATGTCCTAGCTCTCTTACTTCCTAAAATACAGAGCGAATCTTGAAATTATCGTACTCTTTTCGATCCCTTTAGAATAGAGACTTATCGAAAAAGGTGAAAACGATCTCCCGTACAGTTTTTCACGTAGAATGGCAGTGACGAAATTATTCGTTGAGTTCTGACTGAAACTTATATGTTTTTTTTTTAAATACGATATTTTGTATATATTATTTTTATTTTCCTTGTTACGAGCTTTCTAAAATACTTATTTTCATAAACGGGGTAAAATTATTTAACTTTATTACATAGTCGGCCGGTTTAAATTAGGTAATCAAAACAATCAACTTAATTTATCTGACGTAAAATGTTGGTTATTGGCATGTTATTTTAAAAAAAGCAGCACAAGTTCAGTTTACGTGTAGTTTATCAAAATATCACGATGCAAAGCAAAATTATCTGGTAAAATTGTTAAATAAACGGCTCTTTATTTTATAAGAGCTGTTTAGCAGTTTAGCAGTACCTAAATAAATAAATATAGAGTATATTATAATTTCGAAAAGCTCATAACAAGGCAAATAAAATAAAAAATAATATATAGAGTGTCCTGTTTAAAAAAAAAAGAACATTTTTTTTTTTATTTTTTCGAAATAGACAGCTCCCAACGAAGAACTACTTTCGTCACTGCCATTCTACCTGAAAACGAGACACGGGCGGTGGGTAAGTACTCAATAGGTAGAACAAAACAAAATCGGGGTATCCGGTATATGTACCTGTACATTTAGATGAACAGTCTAATTTTATAAAGGTATTTAACGACCGCATAAATACCCGGTATAATACCAGTAATATCAGGAATACGAATATATCTACAATATTTCTTATATATATATTGTAGATGTTTTATATTGGTATATTTCTATTCCCCGGTATTATACCGGGTATTTACTCTGCGGTCGTCGGAAACTCTTTTTATTAAAATTAGGATGTTGATTTAAATCCGAGTCTAAATCTACAGGTATATACATATATACCGAGATTTTATTTATCTACAAATTGGGTACTTACCCACCGCCCATCACTGACCCTTTTCACCTTTTCGATAAGTTATAAGATAATCGAGATACAAAGATTCTTTGTATCTCGACTACAAAACAACATCTTTATATCTCTACTCATAAACTAGAAACCCCATAAAACACACAAAAATGGGACATCCTGTACATCTAGCAATCGCCAGTCGATATAAAAATAATTCACACACAATAGTCTAAAAAATGGAAGAAAAAACAATATTGTCTTCATATTTGTGAAAAAGTGAATTGATGTAATCGTAGTGACAAAAATAAAAAAATAGAAATAGTGTGCAAGAAATGGGGATTGACACCATTAACGTTTAATTAGTATGTCATATTTCATGGTTTCGATATAAATTACATAATAAACTTTACTCTATTGTTGACTCGCCTTGTACATTCATACTGATATACTTTGTACATGATAATACTGAAATATCTGGATTTATTAAAAAAATATTATTAAAATTCAATCACTTTTATTTCTTGACACGACAAAGAATTGCAGTTTTATAAAATAAAAATTATGCGCCTTTCGGATTTTTTAAAAATTTTAGAGGTTACTAGATATTTCGTGTTAAACATGTAGCTGCTATATTAAAAATATTTTGTGGTGTGTTGTTCCATATTGACTAATTTCCAAGCATCGAATGGACGAAGGAAGTAAGCGAAGGGACGAAGGAACGCGAGGAAATAACGCGAGGAAGTAAGGAGAGGAAGGAGCGAAGTGTGAGTATGGGGCTTAACAAACAAATTTACCTAACGGACAAAAAAATGCTTAACGTTTCCAGACGTATATCTCTTTTCGTCGTCGGAAGCAAAAAAATAACACAAAGAACAAAAGAAAAAAAATATTAAGAGTATCTAAATACAACTGTTTAAGAACATTTTATGTTATTTTATTTTATAAATTTTACATATTTTATTATTATGTTTTTTTTCAACAGATACGTCTATAAAAACCGTTGACGTTCTGTTAAAATGATATTATATCAAGTTAAACGTCAAAATTAACAATTACTTTATGAAGTTAAACCTTTGAATAAGAAGACTAAGGAAGGAGCATATCAAAAATCTTAGGTACACCGCGATGGGCCTCAAATATGGCCGACTTAAATTCCGGTTTATCAGTGTCGTTCTAATTTTATTTAAAAAATGTAAAACTATGATGTAGGGTAGACGTGGGGTAGACTCCATAATTTGTTGTATTATTTTACGTTGTGAATAAATGTTGGTAGTTATTAAAATTGTTATAAAAATATATAATTCTAATAAATAGATGTTATAATAAGGCATTTATTAACACAAACATCCTGATACGCTACTGAAGCAGGTAAGTCAAATTAACGTATCTAAATTCTTTTTTTTTGACATCTAATCTTGACAAGTAATAAATAAAAGCTAAAAGACAAGAAAAATATATAATTTAGTTAATTTAAGTGAATTTCAGCATAAATGATCGGTTTAATACACGTATGTATATTATATAGTCACTACTAGCGAAAAAGTTATTCCATTATTTCACTCAATTTTTGCCGAGATCTACCGCACGCTACATAACCAACTATTTTAGTCTTTTCGATAAATAGCGATAGTGTCACTGTTAATTTAAGTTCTGCCACAATTTCCATCTTAGATTTACTACCTTTTATACAACTATCAGTAGTAGAATAAATAATAAATAACATAAAATAAGCTCCGTAAAGACTGACAAATCCACAAAATTTCAAATCAAATTCAAATGTGTCAAATGAATCGTCAAACAGAACTGTCAAGGATCCCCACCCTAGAGAGCTTTTATGGTGGCTTTTCCGCCCACCATGCATGAATACATGGATAGCATTATGCTCCTTCCTTCGTCTTCTTATTCAAAGAGTTAAACCAAAGAGCCTCAAATTTTCTGTAGGTATATGATTATTTTTTATCTGTTTTTTAGTTTTTTATTTATGTTATGTTTATTTATGTTAAGTTCGAAATGAATTGGATTTGTTTAAAGAATTAAAGAGATTGAGTTTATAAAAATAAAGTTTATTTGACTAAAAATTATCAAAAGTTTGGCTGTCTAATGCATAGGTTTTGCTATGAGCAGAGATTACTTGATCTTCTAATAGATTAATTTATTGTATTTAAATAAATAAGAATAAAATGTATTATAATGTTCCAATAGAATTTATTCGGGTTATCTTACAAGGCTTAGGTGCAAAAATTTTGACAATGATATGAGTAATGTTGATGTGGTTTTTTGGTTCTTATCAAGTGCTCTCTAGCTTCCCACAGCTTGGACTGTAAGTTCGGTAACCTAAAAATAATTAAAACAAAATATTAATTAATAGGGCAAAGTGATATCAAAACGTTTAGTTTTTTTATTAGTTACAACATTTTAAAGCATTTCTTCTATAAAAAGTATTTGATGGTAAGGGAACTATTGCAAAAGTAAAAATATACCAATAGACCTCTAGAATGTAGAATGTAGCAGTGTTGCCACTACCAAATTATTTTCGGTAGATGACTTGGTCAAAATTCGGTAGAAATCAATAGATTGGATTTTTAACACGTATTTTTATTAAGACGTGCTCCAAAAAGTAATTTTTTTTGGGATATAAAAAGATTCTTGAAAAATAAAAACTACTTACTTCTACTGTAACTCATTTTTAAAATTTGAGACTTTTAGATTCCTTTACCCAAGTAGCATTTGGACGTTATCTAACGTCGGGTATACGTCGCGTTCAATAAACCTGACGTCGGGTACCAACGTCGGTTCGACCGCCTGACGACCCTTATTTGCACCTAAATGGGGAATACAGATTCGGGTCGCCTCGACGTCGGTATCTGACCTAATAGGGAATGTAATTCTATCAATTACCAACATCATATTACGTTGGATTTTAGTCACTTAAAATTCGTCGCTAAGCACTTAGGTTATGTTTGGTTTCATATTCGCTACCAAGAATACATAAAAAACCTAACCAAACTACCTAATTACAAATGGATTCATAATCACCCCTCGAATAGAACTATAAGTGCCTATCTAATTTCATATATTATAATAATTCTGAATCATTAATCCAGACATCAGTTTAGTCAACGGAAGTCACTTTATTGATATATCTGATTAAAATACTCCGGAAAAACAACGAGCGCCTTCTAAAAGTAGGTACAGAAATAAAAAATATCTATAAAAAAGTAACTAGCAAAATATTTTTTTAATTTCTAGCTGGTTTAATCATAAACTGTACTGTGGTTCCCCCAAACTCAACATTATCAATATTATTCTACTAGAAATCGGAATGTGAATATAAATTTTAAAAAACAAAAACGATTAAAATGGCTAAATAATCGGATACCTGTTAAGAATGGCGGATTTCTGTGTCCGACTTAATATGAACTACCAATATACCAATACCGACCGGGTCTCCAACATTAGTCGTCTCACACGACCGAAGTACATCAAACCGGACGACCGGCAATCGTATTATGACGTATATAATTCCAACGTACGCCACGTAACCTCACTTTGCGTATCAGTGATTTGTGCAACTATATTTTAGTTTTTGTTTTCTTAAAACAGCTGGGCAGCCACTTTTTTTAAGATAGTATATACAAAATTTAAAAAGAAGAACCAGTACTTTTGCCATGAGGGAGGAGGATGGGGTATGCTGGTTTTCTGTTGTAATGAAATCAAGATGCACCAGTGTAATGCAGCATCTCTTCCGGATAAAAAGCATTCGTGGGCGGAGGAAGACCTCACTACTACTATTATTATTTTGCAAAAGCCTCGACCTCTTTCTGTAAAATGTAGTTGAATGTCTAAATGCCTTTTTAGTGTTTTTTGTGCAGCGATAAAAAATTAAGCTTTACAAAAACTTTTTATTAGGTTATGTTATGATGTTTATTAGGCCGCAAATGCTACTTAATGGTTGTATTTACGGACGTAAATAGATAAACGTAAATTAGAAGCAAATATGAACATAAATACAACAAAATATAATTGGACGTACTTTAGGGATTATCAGTGAGACGTATCCTATTCGGTCAACTGGTAGACGTCGGACTAGTTCAAGTATAGGTATAGGTACGTCGTGCAAACCAACGTTGGAACGACGTTGGGGAAATTAATAAAAATGGTACGTTGTTATTTTGTCGTCGACAGATCGTTGGATTTACCGACTCAGATCCAACGACGTCACTTTTAATAGGAAAGCGACGTCACCAGTCGTATCACCAGCACCCGACCTAGATTTGCACAAAGTCTGACGTCGCTTCAGGTCAGATTTAGTTCGAAGTCAGATAGATGCTACTTGGGTATCTGCAAAAAAGTTAATAAGCCTACCGGGTGTCTCAAAAAAATAACTAATATAAATAATAAAATTTTATTTTTCAGATAAAAAATACGAGATTTGGTATGTTAGTATATGACATAAATTGGGATTGATTGACGTATTCAATTGTTTTTGGTCACTTCCTGTTTCACCGGAAATATGACCACAAATTTTGATTTTTAAATGACACCCTCGGTATATTTTTGCTTTTTTCTATAGAAAATAAGTAGAATGACATATCATATGTCAACTTTTGCATTTTCGCATAAATAAATAAATAAATAAATGCCTTTATTGTCAAAAAATTTTTCAATTTGTAGACAAAGGTAAACTAACAAACAAAGTAAAAAAACAAGGCACACAAACAAACAAACAAAAGATAATACTCAAAAAGTGCATAATAAACAGTTCTAGCCACTGACAAGTTAAGCTCCTTAGAAACAGACCTTATCTGATAGTCAAGCAGCGTTAAAGGCGATCAACTCAGTATCAATCAATTCGAAATTGGTCAAAGAATGCATAGAGAAGCTGAATAAATTAGGCAAAGAAAACAAAGTCCTCCTACACTGGGTGCCTTCTCACCAAGGGATAGAAGGCAATGAAAAAGCAAATAATCTAGCTAGGAAAGGAGCGAACACTACTAACTGACCAGAACCGTTCTACTTCCAAGTTAACTCAAGGCGGAACTCAAGAACTTGGAAGACTCCATCCCCAACCTGGAATGGAAATCTTGCAACGGTCTAAGACAGAGTTTCTGAGGGCTTATGACCAAGAAAAATCACAGATCTTCGTGGGTCTGAGTAAGAACAATCTTCGGATTGTCACGGGTTTCTTTTAACAGGACACTGTCTCCCTCAATGGACAATTCCCAGTAGATTGAAACTAAGAAGAAACGGCGAATGCAAATTCTGTGGGGAAGATGGGGAAACACCAGAAAAACCTCATCACTGAGTGCCGAGACGACAACCATTCGTGCCATGAATTTTGGTAATGACTGATATTGAGATGGAGAACTTGTAAAACCGTCCCAGATACTGGCTTTTGTCAAAGCCCTGGGACTGTATGATGAGTTATGATTCAAGAAAGGGGGACACAATGGATCTGTAAGGTCGAAGTGATTAACCCTCCTCCCACTCATTCTAAATTCTAAAAAATTCTAAACAGACCTTAATGCAAAACAGGCAGAGCTTAATTTTTTTGACAAACCTTCGATATGTATGTGCCATTTCAGAGAATTGTCCACAACAAGCCCTAAGAATTTCACAGACTTGACGACGTCAATGGTGGTGTTGTTAAGTACAAAAGGCTGCAACGAGTTTTTATACGACAAAGCTTTAGTTTTAGAAATGTTGAGACTCAGGAGGTTCGAATATAATCCTATGAAGTGCCGTTGTGTCCTTGTTGCATATTATGGTTTATTTGAAATTGTAGCATGCAAAAAATTTGACTCGAAATACCAAATGTGTGGTACCAAATTATTCGTAAAAAATTGCTTTTTCCAAATATGCTAATGAGCCACCCATGTCCCGTTTGAAAAAATTGAGATATGATTAAAAAACCATTTGTGCATCTTTTAACCGGCCAGGACAAGACGCGAAAAACATTAGACGATCAAATCTATTTTTCCAAGGTTCCTTGATTAAAAATTACTGTTTAACACAACCATAGCACTTTAGAATGAAATGAAAATGTCAAAAGTTGACATATGATATGTCATTCTATTCAGAGTGTAATTTTCTATCGAATAAAGTAAGAATATACCGAGGGTGCCATTTAAAAATCAAAAGTTGTAGTAGTTGTAGTCATTTCCGGTGACCAACAGTGAACAAGAACAATTGAATGCATCAATCAATTCTAATTTATGTCATTTACTAACCATACCAAATCTCGTTTTTTTAACAGAAAAAATAAAAAGGTTATAGGGGTGAGCCACTTTTGAGACGCACGGTATACTTAAATATTTCGAATTTTTATTTATACGAAAATATTCCCAAGATATTATTTTTATTTATCCTTTCGAGAGCTGTAATTTCTTGTCGGAAGCATTTTAGGTTATAGGCTCATTGGAACTTTTTGTTTTATTTTTATCTGCAGAATCACAAATAGATACACTATTTTTTTGACACCTTGTATATAAATGGAGTGCTTGTGAAACTGTATTGAAAGAATTACTTCTTGAAGCTAATTCTGTCAAAATTTCTATAAAAATTGGATATAACCTTTGAATAAGAAGACTAAGGAAGGAGCATATCAAAAATCTTAGGTACACCGCGATGGGCCTCAAATATGGCCGACTTAAATTCCGGTTTATCAGTGTCGTTCTAATTTTATTTAAAAAATGTAAAACTATGATGTAGGGTAGACGTGGGGTAGACTCAATAATTTGTTGTTTTATTTACGTTGTGAAATAAATGTTGCAGTTATTAAAATTGTTATAAAAATATATATTTCTAATAAAAATAGATAAGTTATAATAAGTATTTATTACAAACATCTGATACGCTACTGAAGCAGGTAAGTCAAATTAACGTATCTAAATTCCTTGACATCTAATCTTTGACAAGTAATAAATAAAAAGCTAAAAATGCAAGAAAAATATATAATTTAGTTAATTTAAGTGAATTTCATAAATGATCGGTTTACTACACGTATGTATATTATATAGTGACTTACTAGCGAAAAGTTGTTCATTATTTCACTCAATTCTTTTGCCGAGATTCACCGCACGCTACACAATAACTATTTACAGCCTTTTTTCGATAAATCGCGATAGTGTCACTGTTAATTTAAGTTCTCACACACAATTTTCTTCTAGATTTACTACCTTTATACAACTATCAGTAGTAGAATAAATAATAAATAACATAAAATAAGTCTGTAACTGACAAATCCACAAAATTTCAAATCAAATTCAAATGTGTCAAATGAATCGTCAAACAGAACTGTCAAGAATCCCCACCCTAGAGAGCTTTTATGGTGGCTTTTCCGCCCACCATGCATGAATACATGGATAGCATTATGCTCCTTCCTTAGTCTTCTTATTCAAAGGATATAACTGAAGGAAACAGTAGGGATTTTGTATTCATTGTTCTGTCAAACCGAAATAGAATAGAAATGAGAACTAGTTACTACTTTCTCTAAAACTACGATTAGTTTCAGTGAAAACGTGTGATAGGAGAAAAACTTAAAGTACTAAGAGTACTTACATTTATGTGTGGTGCTGTAGACAATGCGTAAATAACTGCTTCAGCCACATCTGGACCATAAATAGCTGGTATAGGTAAATCTATATCACCAAGTCCAGCCACTTTTTGGAATTCTGTTTTCACATATCCAGGACTGATACTCTGGAATGCAAGAAGAGTGTTAAATAAGAATACTGTCATCTCCAATATGCAGTGCAGACCTGCAACAAGTCAGTTTTAAAAAGACTTAAGTCTGAAGTCATTTCTAAAATCAAACTGATTTAAATTTAATTACCCTCAACTCAAGACAACCAGAATTTAATTTGAGTTCCCTTTTTTTAATTTTATTATCAATTTTCTACAAGGAAATTGATATTAACATTACCAATTAGCGATTTTCTTATTATCTGTTTTATTATTACAGTACGTCTGCTGGATCTGTGTCTATGAAAGGAATGCGGACAAAAAACATTTAAATAAACAGCAATATATTTTATACGTCGATTTGACGAATACGTCACCGCAATCGCTCCGTCCACTCATTTTATTGGCTATTTGCAAATTTGTCGAATTTTTATTGATGGGACGCGTCGTTTCATTTTTTACGAAAACATCGAGAGAATATCGTTTCCCCTCTCACGGATACCCCGTAGCTACAGAACGGACAGACGTACTGTATTATATGTATATATATACAGGGTGTTTCAAAACAAATGCGAAAAACTTCAGGGGGTGATTCCTTGTCCAAAATAAAGAGCAGTTTCCTTCATTAACGTTGGGTCAAAAGTCAACCATTAGGTAGATATCGCGGTACAAAGATGGCGGAAAAAAAATGTTTTTATTTTTTATCTGAAAAACGAAAAGAGATAGACTAATAAAATTTTATGGAAGCATTACTGTTATGAAAACGCACTTTCTGGTAATTTTTTCACTTTTTTAAAATGAGTGGAAGGGGCTGATATAAACTACCACTATCATTCTTGTTAACGAAATTTAAAGAAAAATCTAACTATGTCTCTAATAGTTTCTGAAAAATAAAATTAATTTTTTTAAAAAGGTCCGATTAAATTTATATCTCCGAAACTAAAGTTCCAAAAAAATTCGTAATATATCTAGAAATTCATTTACCCACTAGTAGATATAAAAAGCATTTTTGGTAAATTTGTCTCTAATAGTTTCTGAAAAAATAAAAATACAATTTTTTGAAAATGTCCGATTAAATGAATATCTCCGAAACTAAAGTTCCAAAAAATTCGTAATATATCTATAAATTCATTTACCCACTAGTAGATATAAAGCATTTTTGGTAAACTCTTGTCTCTAATAGTTTCTTGAAAATAAAATTAATTTTTTTAAAATGTCCGATTAAATGAATAATATCTCCTGAAACTAAAGCCCCAAAAAAATTCGTAATATATCTAGAAATTCATTTACTCCACTAGTAGTTATAAAAAGCATTTTTGGTAAACTCTGTCTCTAATAGTTTCTGAAAAATAACATAAATTTTTTTAAAAAGGTCCGATTAAATTAATATCTCCGAAACTAAAGTTCCAAAAAAATTCGTAATATATCTATAAATTCATTTACCCACTAAACTATTAGAGACATAGATAAAACTCACCGATTTGAAATTAAAAAATAAGATGTAAAGTAAAAAACATTTCTAGATAAAGAATCTAGTGATAATAACGATAATATTACGTTATTATCACTAGATTCTTTATCTAGAAATGTTTTTTGTCCCAACATGTAATACTTTACATCTTATTTTTTAATTTCAAATCGGTGAGTTTTATCAAAAAAACACAAGAGATAAAAAAGTTTCTAAACAAAATTATTTTTTTTGCATGCGTTTGAGAAGGTTTTTCTTTAAATTTCGTTAACAAGAATGATAGGGGTAGTTTATTTCAACCCCTTCCACTAATTTTAAAAAAGTGACAAAATTACCAGAAAGTGTGTTTTCATAACAGTAATGCTTCCATAAAATTACATTAGTCTTTTCGTTTTCAAGATAAAAAATAAAAACATTATTTTTCCGCCATCTTTGTACCGCGATATCTCCCTAATGGTTGACTTTTGACCCAACATTTATAAAGCAAACTACCTTTTATTTTGAACAAGGAATCACCCCCTCAAGTTTTTCGCTTTGTTTTAACACCCTGTATAAAAATACACTTTGTGGTATTTTGTACAGGGTGTCCCATTTTCGTGTTTTTAGGGGTTTCTCATTTAGGAGCAGAGGTACATTACTGTGTTACTTTTTTATGAAACTGAAAATGGTACTGCTGCCGGACTGAGAGTTCAAACGGAAATGCCGCTGTTAAAAATTTATCATAAAAATATATGAAAAAAAAATAGTTATTTCAGAAATTATTATTTCAAGGAATCTATTACGAGTAGAAAAAATATTCTACTGGGTTGACGTTGGTTTCTATGTAATTTTACAAATAAATAAAGCTGTCTCTTTAGTTGTCAGTTTTGAGTCAATATTTTTTAATTCTCTTTCGTGTCGATTGCTGACTGAATTGTAGCCAGAAATGGCTCAAAACGAAATAAGTAAATTACCAACAGATATTCAGGCTGAGGCGACAAACGCCATATCCAAACTACTTCCATTTAAACCCGGAATGAATTATGAAAAGGAATACAAACATTTCCAAAAATGGAAGCAATTAAAAAACGTGCGAGAAGAAATAAGGTTTTTAACCTATCCTCTATGTATATATGACTTAAAATCAAATGACTTAAGTCATTAAAATGATTTAAATAAAAAAATACTTAAGTTTTCTGTGAACTTGCAACTCTCATGCAGTCTGTCCCTAATTCTTCAAATTTACATTGAAACAAGCATTATTGGCTTAATTCGGGTTTCTCTTATTACCGATTCTGAACAGTCCTAGAACTGTGGTGCGTATGCGCAGAAGGAAATATGAAGACATTATTTCATTTGCGCATGCGCTGCAGAGTTCTAGGACGGTTCAGAATCGGTAATAACAAGAACCCGAACAAAGCTATTGTAAATCACTTCCAAAGATACTTCGACTGGTTTAGGACTCTTAAGGTGCTCGCGCACTTCGCCGAAGCGTCGCGAACGGAAGCGTCGCGAGACGAAGCGTGATTTAGCTGATGTCCGCTCACTGGGGCGAAGCGTGGCGTCTCGAACGACGCGACGCGAATTTTATTTATTTCATGATTTGAACGCAGTAAGTTGTCTAGTGTAGTAGATGAGCAGTTCGTCAGAAGAGGACCTTTTTGTACTAAGTTTAATTGCCGCTATGGAAGAAGAAGAAGATGAAAACAAGAAAAAATGCTGGGTTCTTAATATAAATCAAAAGAGAGACACCTACGGTGAATTCAATCTACTGAGGTGTTCATTGAGGAGACAGTGTCCTGTTAAAAAAACCCCGTGACAATCCGAAGATTGTTCTTACTCAGACCCAGGAAGATCTGTGATTTTTCTTGATCATAAGCCCTCAGAAACTTCTTCGAGTGTCTTAGACCATTGCAAAATTTCCATTCCAGGTTGCGGATGGAATCTTCCAAGTTCTTGAGTTCCGCCTTGAGTTGGTTACCACTTGGAAAGCAGAACGGTTCTGGTCCAGTTAGTGGAGTGTTCGCTCCTTTCCTAGCTAGATTATTTGCTTTGTACACATAATACATCAGTTTTTTCCCAACGTACCTCCTGGATACAAGATAATCGAGTCACCACAAAATATTCTATATTTCCCAGTGACAGTTAAAGTTATTGATAAAATTACAATAAAAATTATTGACCAAGATGGACAACTTGTCAATTTTCGCAACGAAACCGTTACATTACGATTGCATATTAAAAAATATAATGGCAATTTTTATAATAAAATAGGAGCGATATATTCGCCAACATTCGAAACAGTAACGACGACGACGACGACGACGAAACAAAAAAAGGACCGTCCTTATAAGAACGTCACTCGGCGGAAAAAAAAATTCACAGTCTCTGGACTTTGCATAGGTTTAGCCTTGCCTGTCCGTTGCTCTAGTTTTGTGTACTAGGCAACTGCTCCATAAGTATCATGGGTCTTACTATCATGGTATACATCCAGCGCAAAATGTTAGGGGAGCAGCCCCATCTATTTCCGGCCAGTCTTCTGCATATCATGAGAGCCTTTATGGCTTTGCTGGTAGCGTTCTTAATATTCCTGTTCCACAGGAGTTTACTGTCCAGGGTTATACCCAGGTATTTAACTTCCTGTGTTGGCAGTATTTCCTTTCCATCTAGTTGGATTCTTTTCAAGTTTTTCAGACTTCGCTTTCTGGTGAATGGCACTATCGCGGTTTTGTCTGAGTTGATACTCAGCCCGACAGTTCTACACCATCTGTCAGTGATACGGAGTCCTCTTTGGATAATATCACACAAGGTGCCTTCATGTTTCCCCCGAGCGATCATGACTATGTCATCTGCATACCCAATGCAGTGTATTCCCGCTAGAGTTAATTCATCTAGTAGTTCATCCACCACCAAGCTCCACAGCAAAGGGGACGTTACTCCACCTTGTGGAGTTCCTTGCGTAGTAGTAGCCTCAGTAGATTGTAACCTCAGTAGATTGAAACTAAGAAGAAACGGCGAATGCAGATTCTGTGGGGAAGATGGGGAAACACCAGTACACCTCATCACTGAGTGCGTCGAGACGACAACCATTCGTGCCATGAATTTTGGTACGACTGATATTGGAGATGGAGAACTACCCTCTATAAAACCGTCCCAGATACTGGCTTTGTCAAAGCCCTGGGACTGTATGATGAGTTATGATTCAAGAAAGGGGGACACAATGGATCTGTAAGGTCGAAGTGATTAACCCCCCTCCCACTCATTCTAAATTCTAAAAATTCTAAAACCTACGGTGAATTTCATCATTTGTTTAATGATCTTAAACAAGATAAAAAGAAGTTTGCCACAACATTAGCAGTAACGCAAAAACTTCCGCGCATTGATGCGAAGCGTCAAGAGAAACGACTCCTAGTTGGTCCGAAGAGAATTCGCGTGTCGACCGACGCGCCCCTTTGGTTCACGCCGCCGCGTAATGCGCGGGCTGCCATGAACTTACGCGTAAATTTGTCGGGCGAAAAATCTACGATTTTCTTCGCGTCGCTTCGGTTCGCGACGCTTCAGCTAAGTGCGCGAGTACCTTTAAGGTGATGGACGCCGACAAAGACAATTAAGAAACCCAAACAAAACAAATATTAAACTCACTGTGACTTTAATTTTTAACTTTTCTCTTCTTAAGTCCAACCTCAGGGTCTCTGCCAGGGCTGTAACGGCATATTTCGTCGCACCATATACGTTAACATTTGGGAAATCAGCTACTGTATGTCCGAGAATGCTGTTTATATGTACGATGTGTCCTTCGATGTTATTTGCTTTCATGTTTTGTACTACCTCTCTTGTGGCGATTAGGAGTCCCAATATATTAGTATCTGTGGAATTTAGAACAAATATATTACTTATTTTAAGGTATAGTGAGATATATAAGAGAAGAGATAGCAAAGGCAAATTCACCAAAATGTGAGGAAACATCGGAGGAACCGAAACTAGTCTGGCTCTTTGATATATCTTTTATTATGCTCTCTGGAACAGCGTGCAGGCCGTCTGGCTGCCGATACACGTTGCGTTCACTACTGCGCATCCAAAGAATATCCTATATTTTTTACTTAAAATGGCTTTAAATTCTAGTATTGAATAAAAACCGAGGAAGTCTCCATTAGCTCGGCGCGTAGAGCTTTCGCCTATGAAGCGAAGGTCAGTGGTTCGATTCCGGCTGGGGTTGCAACTTTTTTATTTTTTTTTCGTTTATATTCTGATAGTAAAGTATTAAATATTTACTTTTTTATCACCAGCGCGGCAGCTCTACGCGCCGAGCTAATGGAGACTTGCTCGATTTTTATTCAATACTAGAATTTAAAGCGCTAAGTAAAAAATAGAGGATCTTCTTTGGATGCGCAGTAGCAAACGCAACGGGTATCGGCAGCCAAACGGGCCGCATGGTGTTCCAGAGAGCATAATAAAAGATATATCAAAGAGCCAGACGTCTTAAAATACTTGTTTTCCCGACGTTGCTAGCTCTCGTACTATAAGTATACCTCAAAATCAGTTATGAAACCTCCACAGTTTGACGGAAAAACCGCTTGGGCCAATTATTTTTGCCAAATTGAAGCCGCTGCGAGAGCGAACGGCTGGACAATCGCTGAAAAAGCTACCGCTTTGACTATCGCACTGCGAGGAGATGCGACTGACATTCTGCAGACACTGTCACCATCGGAACAGGAAATTATCAGCAATCGGTACGACATTTAGAAATGAGGTACGGCCAAGCTCATTTGGAACATATCTATCATTCCCAGCTAAAAAATCGTGTCTCTGCAGGGGTTTGAAGCCGATGTAGCCCCTCGTTCGCCTTGCGTACCCTGCTACGCCCGAGAATGTTATGGAGCGGTTGTCAATACAGGCATTCTCCGACGGCTTACGTGACAACGAGACAAGACAAGCACTTCTCCTAGCCCACCCAACGCACTTGGTGGATGCTTTAGCACGTGCCCTAGAATTCGAGGCCGCAAAACAAAGTTCTCGGTCTTTAGGAAGAATACGGGCCATCGACGAATGTTCCGACGAATCCGTGGAAGGGATTGTTCGGAAAATAATGGATCAGTACATGGGCAAGAAGGGACCGATTCGTTTGCTGGAACTGCGGACATGTAGGATACGTGCGAAGCCGTTGTAAGGAGAAGAACGAAGAACCGGCTTCGTCGAGGTCGGAAAACTACTAAGGGTCGAAATGAAGGGGCACACGTCCTCCTGTACCCAACATGCCTCAACAAAAACTGCTCAAGTCGCCTCCCTACAACACAAATTCAACAGCACTTTTGTCGATGGGTTTGTTGACGAAGAGTTCCGGACCATGCTGTTGGATACAGGTGCGACGAAAACTATCATCAGGCGGACATTCTTAAAACATCGAAGAAGGTTAAAACAACACAATGGCGATTACGTACTGCAACGGGAAAAATAAAGTTAACTAGAATTGCTAGAAGTCATTACAATTTTTTCTATAGATCTATTTTTATATGAATATTCTTACCAATAGTAGTCTTCCATTTTTCTGTATCTCCATTAATTAGATCTGTGGACTGCATCAAACCAGCATTATTCACTAGAATATGAATATTTCCTAATTTCTTAATTACTTCCTGAATTGTTGATTTGATTTCAGCTTCTTTGGTCATATCACATTTGAATCCATGTAATTTGCCTTTTTCTTTGCTAAGTGCTTGGGAAAGCTCATGCAAACGATCTGTTCTACGAGCCAAACCTGCCACCTTCAAAATAAAAGACATATATTGTTTTTAATTTGTAACATTACAATACAAAAATTCTGGTAATGTTTGAGCTCTTAATATTAATATTGAGAGGTGTTTCATCGTGATTTTCTATTTCCCATTTAATAACACGGGAAAATTTTCTATCGAATTTTCTTGCGTTTTAACAAGTCATAGTATTGTAAAAATCAATACATATTCCTGTAGGAATTTGAACGGTCTTCAGAAAATGTCTGACATGACTTTTCATTTAACTGATTCGTTTGAAAGTTATTGATGGTTGAATTTCAACTTCAAATCTATACTAATATACCTATAAAATCCTGAAGTGACTGACTCACTGATTAATCACGATTCTGCTCAACGTAAGAAGCTCAATTTTGGCATACACGTTGATTCGAAATTCCAGTTCCAAGGGGGTGAAACCACCCCTCAAATATTACAATATTTTTTATCTAAAAAACGGTCAAGTTTCCGAAAAAAACGCTTAAACACGAATATTTTATTTTGTTTTTTACATATTTTAAGATTTTTTAAAAACGTATGCAGGGTGTTTCGAAAAATCTGGTCATTGATTAATCACGATCCTGGTTAAAGCGCTTGACGGAAAAAGCTGATTTTTGGAAAACAGATTGACTTTAGGGTGTAGAGTGTAGAGATTTGATAAGAAGGGATTTTTCGAAATTCGAATTTTAAGGGGGTGAAACCACCCCTCAAATATTAGAATATTTTTTATTTAAAAGCCGGTGAGTGTTTCGGAAAAACTCTTAAACACATAAATTTTATTTTGTTGTTTTACATATTTTAAGATTTTTTAAGAATTTATACAGGGTGTTTCATAAAATATGACCATTGAGTAATCACGATTCTGCTTAAACTGCTTGACGTTTAAAGCTGATTTTTGGCAAACGGATTGACTGTGGGGTGTAGAAGTTAGGTAAAAGAGGTTAGATAAAGAGGGGTTTCTCGAATCCCAAATTTCAAGAGACAAACGTAGCTAGACAAATTAATAGAAATGGTCTTAAAAGATCAATTGGAAATTGAAATACAGCTAAAGGGTGGTTTAAATGAGAGGCAGTACGGGTTCCGAAAAAAAAATCAGTACAATCGATCCTCTCAAAAAATATCTCAGGCAATTAGACTAAAGAATACTAGCTCGTCAAACAGAGATATCCTTATGTTGATTATCTTGGATGTAAAAAATACTTTCAACTCGGCTAACTGGGAAAATATAATCAATGAGCTTAAATATCATTGGAAAATAAGTTTATATTTAGTGGAAAATATAAAAGCTTATCTAACCGAAAGATGCGTTATTGTAGAGGATACAGAAGTTAAAGTATCTAAAGGTGTACCTCAGGGATCTATACTGGATCCTTCACTATGGAATGTACTGTATGATGGACTCCTTCGTATGGAATACCCAGCAGAAGTAGAAGTCATAGCATATGCAGATGATGTTGCGCTGATGGTAAAGGCTAAATGTACCAAAGACCTCGTTAGAACTGCGGAAAGAGCATCGGAGCAGGTGTGCTCATGGATGGATGACTAGAAATAGCGCCGCACAAAACGGAGGAAGTTATTTTGGTTGGTAACCGAAAATCACGCAGTGTACGTTTTCATGTGAAACAAAATGTAATTGTACCAAAGAAAACAATAAAATATTTGAGGATTGTTTTCTAAGCGGGAGGAGGCTTTTCTGAGCATATCCGCCATACAGTTTTGAAAGCAGAAAAACAGGGGGCCATGTTATCCAGAATTATGCCAAACTGGTCTACCTTGGGTCAAACGAAACGCCGAGTGCTAGCTGCTGTACAAGCATCTACAATTCTGTATGGATCCGAAATTTGGGGAGAAACCTGCAAAGTTCGGAGTCATAGAGAGAAACTTCTTGCAGTGCAACGAAGATTGGCCATAAGGGTATGTCGTGGATACAGGACAATATCTGCGGAGGCTGCACAAGTTCTGAGCTGGCCCCGATAGACATAGTAATTGAAGAAAGAATAGAAAGGCAAGAATATTCAGGAAGAACAGCGGAAGAAAGTCGAAATAGAGTTCTGGAAATATGGTGTAAAAGATGGAGTGAAAACAGATATAGGAAAGGTAAATGGTCTAGAACCCTTATAAAGAACCTAGAGTGTTGAATAAATAGAGAATATGGAGAAATGAGCTATGCCATGAGTCAATTCCTTTCTGGCCACGGTTGTTTCAGGTATTACCTACATAAAATAAAGTGATGCTGATACGGTGGAGCATACCCTTTTGGAATGTAATTGATGGACAGCTGAACGAAGAATTCTATACGAAAAACTAAGATTTCCGATCTAGTTCCAGAGATGATTCGATCCCCAGAAAATTGGAATAGTGTTCACACTTTTATGGAGACACTAATAGATGCAAAAGAGAAAGAAGCTAGACGAAGTAACTAAAACATCGCAGTAAAACCGCCTCCTCGAGAAGTAATGCCGAAAGGTAGTTCCTCGGGGAGATATTCAAAGCGGCTTGTGGAGGTTTTTTAGTCTGTAAGGTACCTCAACCACCCCGACAGTACCATATACGGTCTCTGGTTTGCAGATTTTTCCCCACACAAAAAAAGGGCTTGACCTCGACAAAATTATTCATCATTTCCCAGCCGTCTTTGACGCGGTTTTTTTTCTTCGATGATGTGGTATAATAAAAGGTATAAATTGTACTTACAATAATTCCATTCTTGACCAGTTCTTCGACTATGGCCTTGCCTATTCCTGCAGATGCTCCGGTAACTACAGCTACTTTACCAACAAATCTTTCTAAAGAAAGCACCATGGCGGGACTTATACAAATTTAAGTAATAATCTATAAAACAAAACATTTCTTTAGATTAAATAGATAAAATCATCTAGAGGTACTTAGTAAATAATATTCAAATATTATTTACGGTTAATGTTAAAATTATTTCTACAGTTGTAAAAGAACCCTGCTGGCAAGTGTGAATAAACCTTTATGGTTTGTATAATAACAGTTAAAAGAAATAATAAAGTTACATTGCGATATATTGAACATTTCGTCTTTTAGTTAGTTTTAAGATATTAATAAGATATGTTAATTAAATTAAAAAAATATTTTACTTACAATATAAAAATCAAACAGGAACTATAATATTCCAAATAATAGATCTCGATGTTGTTTACACACAAACCATACAAAGTATCAAAACCAACTGTAAAGCAGGAAGGTCAAATCATTTTATATATATGTATTTTCATTTCAAGTGTATAGGTATAGTCATCGCGATGACTCTCAGTAACGTAAAACTATGGAAACACAAATTGAACAACATGACTTTCAACCTAATTACTATCTGTTTGATATATCTCTAGTCATTCCATTAAGTAGTATTTACATATACGACTTTTTTATGTTATGAAAATTGTTTTTTTATTTTGATACATCCATTTATACCGGGTGCGTTTCAAAAGTGGCTCACCCCTATAACTTTTTTATTTTTTCAGATAAAAAAAAGAGATTCGGTATGTTAGTATATAACATAAATAAGGATCGATTGACGTATTCAATTGTTTTCGGTCACTTCCTGTTTCACGGAAATTACTAAAATTTTTGATTTTTAAATGACACCCCCAATATATTTTTTTATTATAGAAAATTACATTCTGAATAGAATTAGGTACATGTTATACAGGGTTGTTCACCACATACGACACGGAGTATGGTAGCTAAACGATTAGATTTTTACAAATTGTAAGTTCTCGGTTCGTTGAAGGACTATTAGAGCTACAATTTAAAAATATTTTTACAAGATACAGAGTGTCTCAAATAAGTTAAAAATATTATAGTTGTATTTTTTTAAATGAAACACCCCGTATATTATTCCATTTTTAGATTCTACGATTGAAATAAAGGTAAATTTGACTAAGGTTTATCACACTTCAACCTTACCGTTTTTGAAATATTTTCAATTTTATGAAATTGCACTAAAAATTTTAAGGCTTTATTTCTCCAAGGGTATCAAAGTTTTAATACTAAATATTTACTGAAGATTTTTTATTGATCAGATATTGTGTTGCTATAATAAAAATTACTACCTTATACAGAGTGTTCAAAAATTTATATTAAATAATTACTAGCTTTAAACGGCAATAACTTGTTTAATTTAAATGGAACACCCTATATATTTTACATGAATCACATGCACAATGTAATTGTCTATCAAATTGTATTATACCATTTTTTACCTATCTCTTCAAGTTTTTGTAGAAAATGCATTTTCTTATAATTTAGACCTCATTTATGAATATACCCATGGAATACTGACATTTTAGATTATTTTTAAAGATGTACCAAATTTTTAAAGAGTACAGATACTAGTATTGTCGATATAGTTTGTTTATTTCATTAAGAAATAAAAAAACTGTTTAAACATTTGTTAAAGAGGACCAATTAATATGATTCCAGTATTCAAACTACATTAATTGGCTGTTGCGTTGATTAATAATAATTGCTCCAAATACTAATAAACTGAATTTTGTATGTATATTAGTCAATGTGGTAAAAAGTAACACCTTAAAAATGATATTTCATTTTTTGACAAATGCTTATTTATAACAACAGAGACATTCCTTGTCATAACTTATTATTATATTGATTTCTGTATACCTTCTTCTCTATACCCATGAAATATTGACATTTTAGATTATTTTTAAAGATGTAACAAATTTTCAAAGAGTACAGATACAAATATTGTCGATATAGTTCGCTTATTTCGTTAAAAAATAAAAAAAAATCTGTTTAAATATTTTTTGTTAAAGAGGATCAATTAATATGATTCCGGCATTCAAACTACATTAATTGACTGTTTACGTTGATTAATAATATTTGCTCCAAATACTCAAAAACTGAATTTTAAAATGTGTATTAGACAGTGTGGTAAAAAGTAACACTTTATACATTTTATTTCATTTTTTGACGAATGCTTATTTATAAAAACAGAAACGTTCATCTTTTCATAACTTATTATAATATTGATTCTGAGCCAAATTCACACACACATTTATTTAGAATACTTTATTAATTAAACTAAAACTAATTTTTGGTCGGAAGTAATGGATATGTATATTTAATTGGTATACTCTTTCACAAAGATTTAAATAGTTTTTTTTTTGTATAGCAATGGGCTTGCAATACATTTTGTACATATATGTTGCTTTAAAAAATCCGAAATGTCAATATTCCATGGGTATAGTGATAAATGAGGTCTAAATTATAAGAAAATGCATTTTTTACGAAAACTTGAAGAGATGGGTAAAAATGGTATAATACAATTTGATAGACAATTTTATTGTGCATCTAATTCACCTAAAATATATATAGGGTTCTATTTAAATTAAACAAGTTATTGCCGTTTAAAGCTAGTAATTATTTAATATACATTTTTGGACACTCTGTATAAAGTAGTAAAATTTTTATTATTGCAACACAATATCTGATCAATAAATAATCGTCAGTAAATATTTAGTATTAAAACTTTGATACCCTTGGAGAAATGAAGCCTTTTAAAATTTTTTTACTACAACCTCATAAAATTGTTCAAAATTTTTAAAAAACGGTAAGGTTTAAGTGTGATAAACCTTAATCAAATTTACCTTTATTTCAATCGTAGAATCCAAAAAAAGAATAATATACAGGGTGTTCCATTTAAAAAAATACAACTATAATATTTTTTACTTATTTGGTACACTCTGTATCTTGTTAAACTATTTTTAAATTGTAGCTCTAATAGTCCTTCAACGAACCCAAAACTTACAATTTATAAAAATCTAATCGTTTAGCTACAATACTCCGTGTCGTATGTGGTGAACAACCCTGTATGTCATCTTTTGACATTTTTGCTTAAAAAAATTGTATTGAGTGCAATGACTGTGTTAAAAACACTAATTTTTAATTAAGGAGGCTGGGAAAAATAGATTTATCGTCTAATGTTTTCGTGTCTTTCGTGTCAAAAACAATTGAATGTGTCGTATTAGTATGTCATATACTAAAATATCAAATCGAACAATACCGAAAAAATAAAAATGTTATAGGGGTGAGCCACTTTTGAGACGCACCCGGTATAAAAGAGACTCGAAATGCCAAGTAGGAGATACAGAAGAAGATTTCTTCTTCTCTGTTTGTAGTATTTGATGCAGATGTCCGAAAGCATTACTAATTGTTTGTTAATTAAGAGCTTATTACAGTTGGGGGTTAGAATCTTTGGTGTTACACAGCAAAATAAAACTTCACTAAATCACCACGCTAACCATGTAAAGCCCCATACTCACACTTCGCTACTTCACTTCGTTCCTTCCTCGCGTCCCTTCGTCCAAAAATCATATATTTACTATGGGAAAATGTCGATTTTATGCGACTGTGTGTTCCTTCCTCCTTCGTCAAAACGTTATTGTCCGTTTACTTCCGAAACGCTTCTTCCACGTACTGTCGAAATTTTGAGGAAGTAGCAAAGGAATTATCACGAACACGAAAAAGATATTAAAATATATAAAATATATAAATCGATCTTGGATTTCATTCGTAGTTGATTCCCTTGATTTGGCAGTACGTCTGTACAGGGTGTCCCATTTTCGTGTGTTTTTGCAGGGTTTCTCGTGTATGAGTCGAAATACAAAAGATGCGGTTTTCACATTACGCTGTTACTTTTTTTATGAAACTAAAGATGCTACATACAGATATGTCCTAGCTCTCTTACTTCCTAAAATACAGGGCGAATCTATATGTATAATTAATGATTGCATTTTTCGATCCCTTTAGTATCATAACTTATCGAAAGGGCTGAAAACGGTTTTGTACAGTTTTCACGCAGAATGCAGTGACGTAACTATCTCTTCGTTGGAATCTGTCTTTTTTTAAATTGACTAAAACTTATATGTTTTTTTAAATACGATATTTTTTGTATATTATTTTATTTTCCTTGATACGAGCTTTCTAAAATACTTATTTTCTTAAACGGGGTAAAAATGCATTATTTAACTTTATTACATAGTCGGCCGGTTTAAATTAGGTAATCAAAACAATCAACTAATTTATTCGATGTAAAATGATGGTTATTGGCATGTTATTTTAAATAAAATACGAGCCGTTTAGCAGTTTAGCAGTACCTAAATAAATAAATATAGAGTGTATTATAATTTTTCGAAAGCTCATAACAAGGCAAATAAAATAAAAAATAATATATAGAGTGTCCTGTTTTAAAAAAAGAACGTAAGTTTGAGTCATTTTCGAAATAGACAACTCCCAACGAAGAACCACTTTCGTCACTGCCATTCTACCTGAAAAACGAGACACGGGCGGTGGGTAAGTACTCAATAGGTAGACTGCAGTTTCATAAAATTGAAAAATATTTAAAAACGGTAAGGTTATGTGATAAACCTTAATCAAATTCTACCTTTGCCTTCAATCGGTAGAATCCAAAAAATAGAATAATATACAGGTGTTCCATTTAAAAAAATACAACTATAATTTTTACTTATTTGGTACACTCTGTATCTTGTAAACCATTTTTTAAATTGTAGCTCTAATAGTCCTCTTGAAAATGACCCAAAACTTACAATTTACTCAATAGGTAATCGTAAAACAAAAATCAGGGTATCTGGTATATAACCTGTACATTTAGATGAGCAGTCTAATTTTTATAAAAGGTATTTCCAACGACTGCATAGTAAATACCCGATATAATACCAGTAATATCAGAAATACGAGTATATCACAATATTTTTATATATATATAGTATGTCACATACTATATATATATATATATATATATATATATATATATATATATATATATATATATATATATATATATATATATATATATATATATATATATATATGCTATATATATATATATATATATATATATTTTGTAGTGTATTATATATTAGTATATTTCTATTCCCGGTATTATACCGGGTATTTATTATGCGGTAGTCGGAAACTCCTTTTATTAAAATTAGGAGATGTTCATCTAAATCTAGGTATATACATATATACCCCAGATTTTATTTATCTACAAATTGGGTACTTACCCACCGCCCATCACTGACCTCTTTTCACCTTTTCGATAAGTTATAAGGTAATCGAGATACAAAGGTTATCGAAAAATGCAAACATTTCTACTAATTAAAAAATAAAAAGTAAAAGATAGAAATAAGAAATAACTTTAAACTAAGAAGACTAGGATAAATACATATTTATCCTAGCCTTCTTAGTTCAAACATATTTCTTATGTAGCATATTTAGTTCCATAATAAGTAGAACAATGATGTGAAAACAGCATCTTTATATCTCTACTCATAAACCAGAAACCCCATAAAACACACACAAATGGGATATCCTGTACATCTAGCAATCGCCAGTCGATATAAAAATAATTCACACACAATAGTCTAAAAATGGAAGGAAGAAGAAAACAATATTGTCTTCATATTTGTGAAAAAATACATGTCAATATTTATGTAATCGTAGCGACAAAAATAAAAAGAAATAATGTGCATGATGCTTTTACAAAAATATCTGAAGAAATGGGGATTGACATCATTAACGTTTAATTAGTATGTCATATTTCATGGTTTCGATTAGCGATGGGAACTATCGAATGAATTAGACTATCGAATGGTTAATGAATGAATGATTTCAACTATCGAATGGTTTTATTCGAATAAAATCATTCATTCATTTGTATACTAAAGCATATGTGACAAACTCGCCGTGCGACTAAATGGTTATCGTTGAGCCACGACTATCGAATGCTGATTTTGTATGCGTCAGTGCATTATTAGTTCTTCCAAATTTTTATAACTTCGCCGTATAAATACTGTGCTATTTTTGCGTTTATTAAAACAGTTAAAATACTAAAATAGTAATTATTTTTTAATTTTATTTATTGACGATTGTGTGCATGTGCAGGTGGTCAAAATTTTTCCGAAAATTTGTGTGGTTTTCCGTAGTCCGATCTTTCAATTATTTAATTTTATATGGTATATGGTCTATTTTTTAATGGGAAATTTTGAGAAATAGCAATTTTTAAGAGAGATGAGATGAACTTACAATTAATGTTAAAATACATATTTGTATTTTTAGATGTTTTAATAATATGAATTAGTTGAACTTAATAATCATATTTAAGTAATGTGGTTAAGTAAATGTGGTTTGAACTCAAACTATGGGGTGAGAAAATTAAAATGAAAGTTTTTACACGTGCCAATTTTAAAAAAAAGTTAACGATGTTTTTGTATTTTGTTTATGCTAATTCTCTTACATGTAGTTTTTGCAGAAGAAATATTTAATTTATTTTTAAAGTAAATGCGAAAGTAAAATACTAATTTTCTTAATAGAAATATAAATGCACCTAATATAAATTCTTATTTTGATAGTCTAATTTTTTAAATTATATTTTCGTTCCATTCAACTAATTTATTCGATGTAAAATGTTGGCTATTGGCATGTTATTTAAAAGCAGCGTGTCCTTCAGTTTCCGTGTAGTTTATCAAAATATAATTTTTTAAATAGAAATATAAAGCACCTAATATAAATAATTTTGATTTCTAATTTTTTATTTATATTTTCGTTCCATTATACTGCATGCTTAGAAAATTAATAAATGTTTATATTTCATGATTTTAAAATTTGTTGTTAATATAACAAATTAGTTCTGTAATTATTATTATTTAATAAACCAACGTTGCCAAAAATTTAGAGACTATATTATTTTTAAATAGGATCTAATATAAATAATTTTGACATCTAATTTGTTGTTTATATTTTGCTACTACTTAAAAAAATATTTATATTAAATCATTTTAAATTTTGTTGTTAATAGGTATAACAAATTATTACTGTTATTATTATATATTAAACCAGTCTTTGCTTAGAAACATTAAAAATAATTTTCTTACATCCAAAATAACAAGTATTATTGCAGTGTAACAACAGAATATTAATAAAAAAAATGCAGAATATATAGACATACTATCCTTAACTAACTAAAGCCAAACAATAATATTCTTTGCTAATATCAACTAATACCAAAATATGGCAATTTAGCGCCCTTCATAACGTATTTGTGTAAATACTAGCACCTCAATAAAAAAAATAATGTGTCCTTATCTATATCTGAATCCGCAAAAATCAAAGATGCCGGCTTTCTTTTCATAGCATTGCCACCGACCGCTGTCGGGTTTCTCGGAAAAACCTACGTCGCCGGGCGACAACTAAAATTCAGTTAATATTTTATTATAATCGATCCCTGAATAAATGAATTTCATAAATGAATGAATGGTTTTTGCTGCCGAATTACTAGAATACAATATTTCAAAGCAGATGACGGATCTATTCGATAATTTTTATTCGAATAGTTTTCAACGAATGTTTTCTTACTAACTATCGAATTATTCGAATGAATTGCAACTATCGAATGTTTCGATAGTATTCATTCGATAGTTCCCACTACTAGTTTCGATATAAATTAAATAATAAACTTTACTCTATTGTTGACTCGCCTTGTACATTCATACTGATACACCTTGTACATGATACTGAAATATTCGGATTTATTAAAAAAAATATATATTATTAAAATTCAATTTTTATTTTTGACACGACAAAGAATTGCAGTTTTATAAAATAAAAATTATGCGCCTTTCGGATTTTTAAAAATTTTAGAGGTTACTAGATATTTCGTATTAAACGTGTAGCTGCTATATTAAAAATATTTTGTGGTGTGTTGTTGCATAACTGACTAATTTCCAAGCATCGAATGGACGAAGGAAGGAAGCGAAGGGACGAAGGAACGCGAGGAAATAACGCGAGGAAGTAAGGCGAGGAAGGAGCGAAGTGTGAGTATGGGGCTTTAGCATCATCAGCAGATAGGATCAGACTCAACAATCTGATCATTTGCTGATGATGCTGGTTAGCGAAACGCGCGTCCAGTGTAAAAGTAAAAGTGTTTTGGTGTATTGTGGTGATTTAGTGTTTTATTTTGCAATTAAGAGCTTGTTAGAATTAGAAAAAAATAATTAAATCTAACCAGACATTATTTCATGCTAAAAATATTAACAATAAAAAACATACAAGACAATTTTTTTATTAATTACATTATATTTTGCAAAAGGGTTACATCATGTTACATCTAAATTAATTGAAAAATATATATTTATCTAAAAGATATAATTTTGGATTATTTTTAGAGAAATATGAGTCACATAATATTGCTCCCACTATTATTATGTAATTTTAATTTAGCAGAGAGTCTTGTCAAGGACGTGTTTATCATTTTTAGTTTGTTATTTCGATGACTTGACACTTATTTTTTGATTAAGTAAAAATGATATGTCATTATCTTTTGATGTACGAAACGATCACAACAATGATTCAGATAATTTGCTAGTTTGATTTTGCTCGTCTGATTAACAATAAATTTAAAAAAGTTGAATATATTTCTTAATACCATTTATTCACGTACCTAATTCATAGTTAATCAAAATAACTTAAATAATAATTTTATTCACAACAAATAGTTAATTAATAGAACATAGATAATAATTTTAATGAAAAAAATTGTTTATATAATTATAAAATTTAAAAAAATTAATATTTTGTACTTGTCGATAAAGGTGGGTTTATATTGCGCATCCCGGCATCCGTCACAGCGTTCGTTGTTCTGTCACCCCAAAATGTAACGACGGTTTAGATGCATCTAAACCCACACTAATATTTTTCTCTAGCTTCCTACAGCTTCTATTCGAAGTTCGCTAACCTATAAATATATAAAAAAAAAACAAAATATGTTAGTCTAGGATGTCTAGTTGTTTAGTATAGTCTGTAAAACGAATAACTTTGAATTTGACAGTTCCCGCGGGCTTTTCCAGTGTTAATTTTATTAGGTTATCAACTTGCGGCCATGCTAACGCAATGCCGTCTCTAATAGAACAGCCTCAGAGCGAGATTTATGACGTCACGCTAGTTAGATACTACGGATTAATAAATATGTTGTAGAATACATGGAAAACATAATTATTCCTCGTATTTTTGGTTTGTATTTTAAAAATGATATAGTTTACATGAAATATACATAATATACAGTTAATATATACAATATATATACCTATTTATAGTAATAAATACTTTGGCAGATAAACTATTAAACCATACAAATGCAGCAAATGTTTTACAATATGGCTGAAATCGTACTCCATAGTCAATGTAGATAGTTTTTGTGTTAAGAATAATAATTTAAAAAAATATGTGGTTATCTTTTGACAAGTTTATATTAGTTTATTAATTGCAGTAAACATTATACAGGGTTGTTCACCACATACGACACGGAGTATTGTAGCTAAACGATTATATTTTTACAAATTTCAAGTTTTGGGTTCGATGAAGGACTATTAGAGGTACAATTTAAAAATAATTTGACAAGATACAGAGTGTCCCAAATAAGTAAAAAATATCAAAGTTGTATTTTTTTAAATGAAACACCCTGTATATTATAACACTTTTTAGTTTCTACGATTAAATGAAGGTAAATTTGATTAAGGTTTATTATACTTAAATCTTACTGTTTTTGAAATATTTCAATTTTGGGAAATTGTAAAAATTTTAAGGCTTCATTTCTCCAGTAGTATCAAAGTTTTAATACTAAATATTTACTGAAGTTTATTTATAGATCAGTTATTGTGTTGCAATAATAAATATAATACTACCTTATACAGAGTGTAAAAAATTTATTTTAAATAATTTCTAGCTTTAAACGCCAATAACTTCTTTAATTTAAATGGAACGCCCTGTATATTTTAGAGAATCAGATGCACAATTTAATTGTCTATCAAATTGTATTATACCATTTTTACCTATCCTTCAAGTTTTCGTAGAAAATGCATTTTCTTATAATTTAGACCCTATTTATCAATATACCCATGGAATATTGACATTTTAGATTGTTTTTAAAGCAACAAATGTACAAAATGTAATAGATTAGTAATATTATCGTTTTAGCAAAACGATAATATTACTAACCCATTTGTATGCAAAAAGAAAACTATTTAAATATTTATAAAAAGTATACCATTAATTAAATATAACACCATTATTTCCGCCCATATACTAATTAATGGCATACTTAATTGTGTTCGTTAATAAATTATTATAAATAAATGTGGATTTGAGTCAGAAATCAATATAATAATAAGTTATCAAAATTAAAGTCTCTGTTGTTATAAATAAGCATTTATTAAAAAATGAAATATCATTTTTAAGGTGTTACTTTTTATCACACTGTCTAATAGCCATACAAAATTCAGTTTTTTAGTATTTGAGCAATTATTATTAATCAACGCAAACAGTCAGTTAATGTAGTTTGAATACTGGAATCATATTAATTGGTCCCTTTAACAAATATTTAAACAGTTTTTTATTTTTTTAATAAAATAAACGAATTATATCGACAATATTAGTATCTGTACTCTTTAAAAATTTGGTACATCTTTAAAAATAATCTAAAATGTCAATATTCCATGGGTATATTGATAAATAAGTTCTAAATTACAAGAAAATGCATTTTCTACGGAAACTTAAAGAGATAGGTAAAAAATGGTATAATATAATTTGATAGACAATTAAATTGCCGTTTGAAGCTAATAATTATTTAAAATAAATTTTTAGGCACTCTGTATAAGGTAGTATTATTTTTATTATTGCAACAAAATAACTGATCAATAAATAAACTTCAGTAAATATTTAGTATTAAAAACTTTGATACCCTTGGATGAAGCCTTAAAATTTTTACTGCAATTTCACAAAATTGAAAATATTTCAAAAACGGTAAGGTTTCAGTGTAATAAACCTTAATCAAATTTACCTTTATTTTAATCGTAGAAACTAAAAATGAAATAATATACAGGGTGTTCCGTTTAAAAAAATACAACTTTGATATTTTTTACTTATTTGGGACACTCTGTATCTTGTAAAATTATTTTTAAATTGTACCTCTAATAGTCCTTCATCGAACCCAAAACTTACAATTTGTAAAAATCTCATCGTTTCGCTACAATACTCCGTGTCGTATGTGGTGAACAACCCTGTATAATATATAAATAAATTTTGTGATTGCAAATAATAATACATCACTATCGATATTGAAGGTTTTTTGTTAAATTAGATCGATTTTTAAACCCCAAAATTTAAAATATATTTTACATTTTACCCATTATCTTATGTACCACCTATTCATTATTTGTATATTGTAAAACATTGGCTGCATTTGTATGGTTCATAGTTTATTTGCCAAAGTATTTATTACTATAAATAGGTATATATTATATTGTATTTATTAACTGTATATTATGTATATTTCATGTAAACTATATCATTTTTAAAATACAAACCAAAACTACGAGAAATAATTATGTTTTCCATGTATTCTACAATATATTTATTAATCCGTAGTATCTAACTAGCGTGACGTCATAAATCTCGCCCGTGGCTGTTCTATTAGAGACGGCATTGGTTAATATTTAGAAATGTCAAAAGCTGATGACATTTTACTTTTGTCAATTATGACATTTCGTGTTGATTTTTGCAAGAAGAGGAAGAACTGTCACTTGTTTTATTATTTTCCTTTTCTATTTCACGAAAGTAAAAAGAGTTACCTATCTGATTCGTTCAGGCACTCAATTTAAAGAATATCAGTAACTTTTTTGACAGAGGGATTTTATATTTGCCATGTTGGTAAAAGATAACGGTCAAAATTCAAAGTTATTCATTTTATAGACTATAATGGGTTTTGTAAAATATAGAGCTAACCTAACACTTAAAAATTTTGCGTTGCGGTTTTTTTTGCATCTGAGTTTTTTTTATTTATATAAACATTCCCTTTAATACAGCTTTAATTTACGAACCAAAAATTATTGCTTTTGAAGTATAATTTGACTCAGTTACTTACATTTATGTGTGGTGCTGTAGACAATGCGTAAACTACAGCTTCAGCCACATCAGGGCCATAGAGGGGTGGTATTGGTAATTCCCCTACGCCTGATGCACTTTGTAATTCTGTTTTCACATAACCGGGACTGATACTCTGTAATATAAAACGTTTGTGAAACTTCTAGGAGTACCTTAGAATTTTGATTATCAATGGAAGTGTGAAGACGAAAAGAATTGAACAAGTCACACGAAGTCTCTTTTACTTACAAAATCTGTGAGTAAAAAGTGATACATACTTATACAGGCCCGGCAATGGATCTCTAGGCATAGGAATTACATGCATTGGAATGAAACGCCTATAAAAAGTCTATGCTTAAACAGAGATGGACAACAACTTCCCCGTTTCCACTTCCACTACGACTGTCTACTTAGACAAACTCCAATAAGATAACAAATTTTGGAAATTCCGCCACCTCCCATCCACTCATCATCCCTGCCCTTTATCTTATTTTATTTCCCTTCCCGCGCCTCCGCACCTCGCTATTCCGACTCCCGTCAGTTCATCACAGAGTTGCCATGTCTACCGGTTTCGTCTGTAAGCTACCGATCTACCGATTTAAAGAAAAATCCAACGATATATTCAACTGCGTCTTTAGTTTTTACAATAGGCACTTTTAAAAAGCTGACTTATTTGATTAAAAATTAAGCGACTGCCGCGTTGGAATCTGTATAATCTGACTTTATTATTGTTTCATTAAATTTTATTTAGTAATAACACACATACAGGTCATCGTTCTGTCTAGTTGCAGAGTTACAGAGATATTCCCTAAAAAATCCTTATTACCCTTATTAGGCGCGGTATTGGCGACATGCCCGAAGAAGTTGATATCTTTTGAAAAGATTTTATTTCATTCATCTACTAAAGTTGAACCCATATTTTCCCCAAAAATGTAAACAAAAACAAAATTTAAGTTAAGAAACAACCTAAATTCGGACAAACATTTTAGTGATTTTCCCGTCAAAAAATATATTAATATGAAAAAGAGTTGAGAGTTGCTACAGCTTTCCCATTGAAATGAAATTAATTTTAGATATCACTGATCAAAATTTGTACAAAGGTAAAAAGTGACTGCTACACTAATTTGTGACTGCTATCCCTACTTGTTATAGTTTTATATGTTTTTATTAATATATTAATATTATTTATTCAATATTTTTTTTTAATATCAAATAATATACCTGACTATTTCTAATTCTTGTTATATTTATTATATTTGTATTTTATTTGAGTGATCTATTATTACGACACATAGGAATGCTAATTTTGGACTTAAATATTATCTTTTATTTCGTTTCTGTACTTTTAATTTTTGTTGAAGATCTACCGAGAATTTTGTTCTCGTATGGAATTATAATCTAACCAACCCGGCAACCCTGTTCGGCTACTCCTTATAAAGTTTTTTTCGGCCTAATTCCTTTGTCCCAGCCGCACTTTGTCAAGCGCCGCCGCCGACCGACTGTGTCGGGGCGACTGCTAGGAAGATCGTAAAGTATTGCCATTTCATAGAATTGCACTTGCTATTTTAGAAATGATTTCAAAGTTTTGCATGTTACTTTTCGTTTTAGAAAGAAGTTATGTGCCTAGAGAAAACACATTCTTAAAATTGTTTCGTACTTTATTTAATATTTCATTAAGTAGGCAAGATAATGGGATTAGAAGATTTAGGATTTTGACAAGCCAACATAATTTCGATTTAATTGAATGGCAACACTGTCCGTCCTGTTTCTATTTTTTCGGTTCTGTTCTATTAGTAGGCGGTAGCCCTACCACAAGCGTCTTAAAGACCCGCCTGGCGCCCCCTCGCAGGGGCTCTATCGTCGTATCACTTCTATGATCACTTCCCCTATACAATGGTAGGGAAAAGACACTTTATCCGTCTCTGTTGCACTGCAGTGTATTTTGCAGCCTTACCATCTTTTTTTATCGCATTGAAAACCTCCTATTGCTAATATTCCTTTGCCAGCAGTGTATACACTTTTTTTAAAAGTTGGAATACTATTCCTTTTGTCCACGACCACTTAACAATAAATCAATATTCTACTTCCTAGCTGAAGGCATATGGTGCCCATATTTGTAATAGAGTGAAATATAACAGCTGATAACAGTGAATTATGATAAATCATACTTTGCATTTACTTTACATTTGTTGCTATGCCAACGTGACACTGACAACATCCAGATGCGCGGCGTGGATGATTTGACGTTTTTCTTATCTTTTCTTTTTATTAATTTTGACGTTTAAAATTGTCAAATGTTAAGTAGGTAGTGATTATTAAGTGGCATATCAAGAACTCGTTTAAAATCAAAAAATGAATTATGAGAGTGATAATGAGCCCTGTACACTACCAGAGATAGCAGAGGCGACCAAATTAACAAGTCTTGGATTGCTACCACCCTTGTATATGAATTTTTAAAGTAGCTCAACATAAGACGTTTATGGATGTAAAGCACCAGATGGCGGGGCGTATTTCACGGTCTTTGAAGCGACCAATAAAAACAGAAAAAATAAAAATCGATAATTTTCGGACTGTGCCAATTGGTTACTAATCGACCAGATACTTTTTATCTATTAGATATGCTATAAAAGCTTGTAATTATACAATTCGACCATTGTAAATACCCGACAAATTTCGCAAGGCCGACGAGGCCGATGCTTTTCACTGATAAGAAAAAAAATGTTTGTTTCGATAATTTTCGAGATATTTTTTCTTTCTGAATTTTTAAAGTATTTTATATTCTTTGTCCGCTTGATCTATTATACTGGTTGCACGTATCGAAGTTCTGTTTCTTTTAGTTTTAAAAAATGTTCTTATTTCTTTTGTAGTTGTAGTGGTTGTAGTGTAAAATTAGATTAATTTTATTAAGTTTAATTATAATGTTTAGTGTAGAATACCAGAAATAGTTTAGTAGTGTTTTTATAGTTTATTATTTTGTAGTTAAGTAGTAGATGAAGGGATAATTTAGTTATTTTTTCTTTTTGTTTGATTAATTAGTAAGTTTGATAATTTTTTCAGTGTAGAATACAAGTAGTTGTGTAGTGTTTTTATAAGAGATTATATTAGTTTATTTTGTAGATGAGTGGTAAGTGAAGTGAAAGTATTTGGGTATTTTTTCTTTTTGTTTTTCTTCTAATTGTAGTCATTCTATTATGTATTGTGATAGATACACTATATCTTCCTTCAACTTCGTTGAAAAGTGCGTTATCATATAATTTTGGTTTTTTGGTAGTAGAATATACGGAAAAAAAATCTGATCAAATTTATTTTAAATTAAACTAATCGAGTCAAATAATAATAATAGTTAGGTTCTAAATACTATACAGGGTGAGTTTCCTCCTGATTGACTAAAGAATGTTGGTACCATATTTTCATGCAAAGAACTTGAAACAATATTAATGAAATTCAAATAAATATATAACTTTAAATAAAACTCAAATTACCAATTTTAGTTACACAAAACAACAACAAGTCAGATGCTGGTACTGCAATTTATCGTTCACCAACAACTATACTCAACTAAAGTTGGTAGAAGTATGTTTTATTGCAAAAAACTTGAAGCAGCATCAATAAAATTCAAATACATATAAAACGATAAATAAAACACAAATTACCAACTTTAGTTACACAAAACAACAAAAAGTCAGCTGCTGGTGGTACGATCTATCATTTTTCAACAAATTTATTTTACTAAGGCGCGGTCTCTTCAGTTATAAATAAATAACTTTTATCTAACAAATAACCATCTAAAAGATAAACAATCTAGAGCCTGATATCTATAGGATATAACATTTGGGTATTTTCATACAAAATAATCCAATATCGAGGACGGCCGCCTACGGACCGGTAGACACTCCGTAGAGAAAGTGTTGCCAATATAAGATATCTGAAATTGAGATGGTTATATATGAAAAGTCGATACAACAGACAGAGACAAAAACTGGAAATTTCAAATCGTTAGATTAAAAAGTGATGTTATTGTTCAGTTGTCAAAAGATCGTCAAAATGAAAATAAAAAACAATAAAATTCAACTAAAATATATTTTGTGTTCAACTCCAACTAGAATCCTATTATGGTATAGGCTATTTAAATTTGCTTTTTATGGAAAAAGGGAAAGATAATTCAATTTCAGCAGTGGTGGTGGTGCAATATAGATCTATTGGATGGAATGCGATTTATAAGAAATTAAAACAAGAAAAAATAATCTGTAAGTAATTTATAGTTTAATTACATGATATTACTGTTATATTTATTATATTAACATTTTAGTACAATTGATAATAGAAAATATGGAAGAAGCTGGTGAAGTAAGCAGAGATTTATAAACCAATCCTAAAACCACCATCTGGTAAGTTATTAATATTGAAAATTAAAATAGCATAAAACTGTTTGTAATAACAAATATGTTGTTCTAGGGCTTTCATAGTAAAGAAATAGGTAGGATAGCATCAATGATAGTAATTAAGGTGAGTTTTTATTTTATAAAATAGATAAATGCACTTATACTTTTGTCTTAATAATAATAAATGAATAGTACCTATAATAATTGTTACATTTACACATTATATGTACAAATTACTTAATAAAAAAATTAAATAAAAACAATTTTGTCATATTACTTTTATTTTTAAGAACTCAAAGTGATGGAACTTCGAAAATAAAAAGAAAAAATAAAGGAAAAATCTTGTCTAAACAAAATTGGACTAACTGGAATTCAAAGGACCACAATACAGATGTTTTAGCAAGGTTTAGCTAGAGAGTTACTTAAAAAATAGCATGGAGAAGAGATGTACCGTATGATCGAAAAAAAAACGGCGTCAGCAATGGCTATGAAATAAAGATTGCTGTCATTTCATATGTAAATTTATATGGGAAATATCATCGATCATACGGTATAAGGTACATAGTGTAAGAAATTAAACTAAAATTGTAACACAAAAGAAATTGTAAGTTGAATAACAGGTTTTATAAGGTTCTTGTTATACTATTAATGAATTAAGATATGCGAATTAAAAAAGAAATAAATAGTTTGATTTAAAAAGTTTTATTTATTTTTTACCTACTTTAGAGCTTCATTAAAAACTAGTTGAAGCAACGCGCATCCGCCACGAGATCAGGAAAAAAAATACTTTTTTTATTTTTTTAAATTAAATGAAAAACAAAAAATCCGGCAACGACAGTTTTTAGAAGGGCCATTTAGCTATCTTTTTAGTAAAAAAGCAACTTTCTAGAGCAAGTCGTTACTTCAGTAGAGACGACACAGATAAACATTAGCATTTTATATAATATGTAGTAATGGTTTATAATTGAAAGGATTTAAATAAAATAATTTATAAATTACTGTTTTATCACTATTATCCTAACTTAATGCATTCTCTTCGTTCTGATGCTCTAACAGAACAGAGACTCTCTTTATTTTGTAACAGTCCTTATAAAGTCCGGCACTAGCAACAATAGTTTTTTGCACCATTTCAATGTGTTTATTGGTGTCTATACCCCAAATGTTCTAAAATAATTATAGCCTACATACTCAGAATAGGTAAGTCTTTTCCAAATAATCTAAAATCGAATTTATTGGAATAAACGAAATCTTCAATAATAACAATGTCTAAGGTTATGTTAAGCAATTTTGTCAAATATCAAATAAAATCAATATCTCCTCATGCCTTTGCTCATGCGTCAAATTTTTATCCGACAAATAAAGCACTATTTGGCAGTTCGGGCGCCAGATAGGATATCTGGGAGATAAGTTTAATTTATCTAATAGATACTGTTATCTATAGGTGAAGATACGCGTTTGGGGGCAGATTATAACACGCTATCCGTACCTGAAAACACCGGGGGTAAAAGTGCAAATATTTGAAAATAGAATAGTTCGAGATGACTGCACTCTCGATGCATAGCAACTGATGATATTGACGTTTTTTATTATCTTTTAGTTAATTTTGACGTTAAAAATGAAATTTTAAGTAGGTAGTGACATTTTTCCCTAAAACATGAATACAACAATTAATAGTAAGATTAACATTAAAAATACAAATTCAAACACTCCTCATAATTATTATTATAATGGCCGTGGACAAAGTATAGTATTCAACTCGCAATTTATAGCCATTATTCACTCGGGTGACTTCAGCCTGCGTGAATAATGGCTAGAACAAATTGCTCGTTCAATAATATACTATTAAACAAGTACCATTGTACTTACCGTGATTTTAATTTTCAAGTTTTCTCTCCTGAAGTCCAATCTTAGAGTCTCAGCCAGCGCTGTAATCGCATGTTTAGTAGCAGGATACACGTTTAAATTAGGAAAGTCGGATACAGTATGTCCCAGGATGCTGTTTATATGTACAATGTGTCCTTCTGTGTTGTTTGCCTTCATGTTTTGCACTACCTCCCTTGTGGCGATCAAGTTTCCCAACATATTTGTTTCTATCGAGTTAAGAATAAATAGATTAGTTCATTATGATGATTAGTATTGTTAATAAAATATAGTTAATAAACTTTTTTTTTAATTAAATTAATAAGTTAATTAAAAAAATTTTTGTAAATTATAATTATAATACTTATATTTTTTTTAACTTATATAAACTTATTTAAAAAGAACAGTTTTTAAATTCGAGAAAAATAAATATAAATCAATATACAGGGTGTCCCAGAAATAAGTGCAAGTATTTTAACTGGTAGTTTCAACCCCAGAAACACGCCTATTACCGCAATGTATTTAAGGTCGCTCGTGGAACAAAATCACATAAAGCTGAATTTTGGTTAATATCTAGTTTTGGTCGCCCCGATTAACATACAAAAAGTCCCCACCCCTGCGAGGGTGCAAACCATCCCAAAACCACCCCCAACGGTACATTTTTTTAGTTTTCGCCCATTATCTCAAATATGGTCGATTTTTTCAAAAAAAGACTAGATCCTAAAACTAAAGCCAATGAAATTATCTACAAATTGATGTATATAAGTCTATATTTTAATTTACACAGTGGCGTACAGCAAACGGTTAAAATCGACAAAGGCCATTTTTTTTGAACATTTTTTAAAGTTTTCGTTATTTATTACAAAAATGGTTGATTTAAGAAAAAAATACTACATAACAAAATGGAATCCAGTAAAAATACCTACAAAATGATGTATATAAGTACATATTTAAGTTAACACAGTGGCGTACACTAAAGGTCTTTATGTTGGTGTTAATATTTTCCATCGTGTAGCGTAAAATTAATAGGTACCTTATTTAAACAAAGTCTTCTTCGTGGTCATCCTCGTTTTCATTAGTCTGTTTAGGGACGAGAACATTGCTACAGGACTGTCCTTGGCATTGCCAACAGAGATTGGAGCAATCTAATCCAGCTTTTCTGCAACTGCGCAGTTTTCCACAATCTGTCCTACAGTTGCAGAACAACAATTTTAAAATAAAATCTGGGGCAATGGGCAACAGTTATTGGTACCAAAAGCCCTGTTTTTTCCATTCCCAAGAGGTATATAGCATCCAATTCAATCCCCAATTCAAATTTGGCGATACACCCGCAAACTGTGGTTGGATGCAGCGTCGGATGTTGGCGGCAGAGATGTCAAGGAGAAGGTCGAGTTGAGGCTTTGTCGCGCAGTATTGTTGTTGAATTTTACGAACCGTAGTTGATCTAATGTTTTTATTGATTTATCGGCTCTATATAAAAATAAAAGGAATTCTTCTTCTACAGACATTAATTCACTTTTGTTGGCATTTGGCGTTAAAAAACTGCTACTTTCCTTTGTAATTCCGGATTTTTTCTAAAAGCTTATAGGTTGACAACTTTTTCTTTTTATAAATTGCCGAAGTTGTGTCACATCCAGAAATGGCATGGCAAAATAGGATCGAGGTTGTAAGGACACCTATCTGGTTCTGCAGGGACCCTATGTGCGTGCTTTTATTAAGTTTTGTAGCTTGGCCAGGTCTTAACATAAGGATGTTGTCGGATTTTGCTGGATTAGATTAGCTCTAGCTATGCTCTCGTCTCTAAGCAGACTGATAAAAACAAGGATGACCACGAAGTAGACTTTGTTTAAATAAGGTATTTATTAATATTACGCTACACGATGGAAAATATTAACACCAACATAAAGACCTTTAATGTACGCCACTGTGTTAACTTAAATATGTACTTATATACATCATTTTGTACGTATTTTTACTGGATTCCATTTTGTTATGTAGTATTTTTTTCTTAAATCAACCATTTTTAAAATAAATACCAAAAACTTAATAATCTTATTGACTTCAATTTTAATATCTAGTCGTTTTTTTGAAAAAATCAACCATAATCGAGATAATGGGCGAAAACTAAAAAAATTGGTTGTACCTTTGGGGGTGGTTTTGGGGTGGTTTACACCCTCGCAGGGGCGGGAACTTTTTGTATGTTAATCGGTGCGACCAAAGCTAGATATTAACCAAAGATCAGCTTCATGTGATTTTGTTCCACGAGCACCATAGGATCGAAAATAACGGCCCTGGAGTATATGAGGTTTTTTTCGCGAAAAAAAAATTGAAAATTCGAAATTTTTTGAAAAAAATGTTGGATTTTTTTTAGTTTTTAGTTAGAAAACATAATTTCTTGATAATATGGCAACATATGTAAGTATTAGATTAAATTTACAAGAAAGAAAATTCAGAAAACATCCAGTGGTTCTCAAAATTTTAGCAAAAAATCATTTTTTTTTGGAAATTTTCAAAGTAAAATAACTCCGTTATTTTGGACTTATTTGAAAAACGATAGAGAGAAAATATGTTTTTTATCGAGATACATCCCTTAAAATACTTGCACTTATTTCTGGGACACCTTGTATATTATATAGGATAAAATTAATAATAAATTATTGTACAATTTTATTGTTTAATAAAAATGTGGCTATTAAACAAATAAGAATCGGGACATTAAGGCTTTGCGTAGGGACGCGGTAGTTTTGAATAAAAATGGGACTGTCCCCACAAAAACGGAACGGGTGGCAACCCTGCTTGTAAAAGACATATTAATTAACAGAAAGACACTAAAAGACTTTTTGGTGTGTCTTCCCATTTTCCTTAGAATTTACAATTCAGTAATTCATTATTCTTACCAATGGTAATTTTCCATTTTTCTGTATCTCCATTAATTAGATCTGTAGACTGAAGTACACCAGCGTTGTTGACAAGAATATGAATATTTCCCAATTTCTTAATTACTTCTTGAATTGTTGATTTGATTTCAACTTCTTTTCTCATATCGCATTTGAATCCGTGTAATTGGCCTTTTTCCTTACTCAGTGCTTGAGCAAGTTCTGGCAAACGTTCTGCTCTGATATCCAAACCAGCTACCTTCAAACAAAAGATATATTTTTAGTTAACTAGTAACATAATAATATAAAATTTTAACTTTTTGCATTAGTTTTGAGCAGTAAGTTCAAATATTCGATACCATTTAAACTTCTGACGACTCGTGTACTTGGTAAGTACGCCAATATTTAGGTACTTGGCAAGTATACTATCTTTGCATAAAAAAATATGCCACAAGCTCGGCATTCACGCGGCGCGATGGGTGACAAATAATTGCACAAGTAAACCGCCCACACGGCATGGCAAGTATGTGCCAATAACAAATGTTTGTACAAATACACGAGTCATCAGAGTCCACTTTAGGACCAGGTTTAGGAATAAAAACTTTATTTAAAAAATTGCCAATGTTCTGACGTATATTCTCGTTGTTTTCGAGATTATTTTCAACTAGAAAGTTCTTTGGTAAACATTATTAGTGGTTTATATTGTGTAAAATATATCAATTTTATTGTACTTACAATAATCCCATTCTTGACCAAATCTTCGACTATGGCCTTGCCTATTCCTGCAGATGCTCCAGTAACTACAGCTACTTTACCTTGAAATCTTTCTAAAGAAAGAACCATGGCGAGACCAATGATTTCTATAACAACCCAATAGGATAAAGAAAAAGATTAGTAGGAGATTACAAAATATTGACTATTGTTATCTACATAGACTTAAAATAAAATATAGACTGAGCATCTCATTCATAAATAGCTGGAACATGCGGTCAGACACTGTCTTGTTATTGTTGTGTTATTGTTTTAGGTTATAACGAGTGCGACACGAGCGATAGATAGGTTGTCTCTGTCGTAACGGTCGTTCCCTGACGACTCTGCCGAGAAAACACAACACTGTCTTCGTTTCCTCAAGTACACCTGAACTCTCCGTATCATAGCCGGGTAATTTTTATTTTAATGAAGCTATAATTAAATTAAAAATATATCGTATTTAAACTTTTTATATTTTATTAAGATTTAGGATAGGTTTTTTAAATAAAAGTTTAGAAAAACAATTTAGAGTCCAAAAAGGATAAAAATAATAAAATATACGTTATAGAAGAAATTTTATAATCGAAATTAGGTAATTTTGAAATTAATAATAAATTATTAATTTTAGTCAAACATTTACAACCCCTAATATTAATCAAAACAGGATCTATTCCACAGATATAATAGAGATCGGCGACAGGGAGAGAAAAAAAATATGATCGTTGTAATTTTTTTTCTGGTTAAGTGATGTCTTATTATGTAAATTAGAGAAAACATAAATCTGTTCCATTAAAGCAAGGAAGGTGATAGGAAGTGGATAAAATAAAACTACATTTATTTAACTCGGTACTGTCTTTATTATACCGGGTGCGTCTCAAAAGTGGCTCATCCCCCCATAATTTTTATATTTTCAAATAAAAAACAAGATTTAGTATGTTAGTATATGAAATAAATTAGATTGATTGACGCATTCAATTGTTTTTTGGTCACTTCCTGTTTCACCGGAAATGACTATAACTTTTAATTTTTAAACGGCACCCTCGGTATATTTCTACTTTATTCGATAGAAAATGACACTCTGAATAGAATGACATATCATATGTCAACTTTGACATTTTCGCATATGGTTTAATTGTAATTGTAACACGCGGTTCATAACGACAATTTGACTCGAAATACCAAGTGTGTGGGTATCAATTATATTCATAAAAAATGCTTTTTCCAAATATGCTAATGAGTCACCCTTGTTCCATTTGAAAAAATTGACATATGTATGATTAAAAATACGATTTGTACATCTTTTAACCGGCTTAGACAAGGCTCCTTGATTAAAACTTAGTGGATTGAAAAAAACTGGATTGAAATTTAAAATAGGATATGTTTTTAAGCGACAATGTCAAAAGTTGACATATGATATGTCATTCTATTCAGAGTGTCATTTTTTTATCGAATAAAGTAGCAATATACCGAGGGTGCCTTTAAAAATCAAAAGATGTAATCATTTCGGTGAAACAGGAAGAGACCAAAAACAATTGAATACGTCAATAAATCCTAATTTATGTCATATACCTACTAACATACAAATCTGTTTTTTTATCTGAAAAATAAAAAAGTTATAGGGTTGAGCCACTTTTTGAGACGACCCGGTATATTAAAAATATTGTTTCATAATGTAATATCATTTTAAAATTCGTGTATGTTATTTTAGATTCTGAAGATAATTTTAGAATAAACCGGAATATATTTTTAATAAAAACATTATTAATTATTAACAGGGTTATAATTATGATTTTGTTACGTAAGTAAGTAAATAATTGTAATGTAAAAGAAAAAATTCAGATTTTACATTTTACTAAAATATCTAAATAAGCGCCTTTCTACAACAACGCCACTGACTGCCAATGGGTAAATTGAGAGTTGCCTACCGGTCAAAAGTCGTTTCAAGACTTAAATGGATTATTTAAATCAAATTTCTTGCAAATTTGGCACTGGCGAACCATATTTTATAGTTTTTGAACAGAAAAAGTCAATAAAATAAACACTTAAGGACTACAAGCTAAGAAAATGCGTTAATACAGCCGGGGAGATCGCGGCAACAAAGCTTTACCGCACACGTGCGACACGTACTACAAAGTAATAAATGAATGAATAGGCTCCCTCGCCTCTAATCGGTGTTGTCATATTGTAAAGAACTTATCCTTATTAAACAGTATCCGACTTATAATTTAGTAGTATAATACCCAGAAGTAAACATGTGTACAAAAAGGTTGTTTGTCCGCGTTAAGATGTAAATAGTGTAGTCTATATTTTATTTTAAGTCTATGGTTATCTATCAGTTAGTTACAAAAGTTTCATTCATTAGTTACAAAAGCTTCATTCCGAACCTCGCAATTAGTGGAATAAATTTATTCGTCAACAAAGTTGAAGAGGTAATATTTTGACCAACTGTATAACGAGAAATTTAAATGAAAGAAAGGAACCTACGTTGTGTTAAATATTTTTTTATTGTGATTACCTCGGATGCGCCTCAAGAGAAGCAATATTTTGGGAAATTTGGGGAGAATAGGTTATATAAATAAAACGCAAAATTTTTATATAGCCCTACTTATTTTATTAAATGAAATGAATAGAGTGCCGTACTCTGCCTGGAATTCACATGTAAAAGAGCACGGCAGAGAAAACCATGATCACTATTGCAGAATCTAACTATGCTGTTCTGAACTTTAATAAAAGAGAAATAATGATATAGAAACTGTCCTCATACCTAGGTTTATAGTTTAATACATTCAAAGCATGCCACATTTATATCGTTCAAAACTGAAGAGTATTTTGTTAGTTTAACGGGTCGTAGGTACGGAATCCCTTGTTGCGGAATCGACGCTAAAGTTGAAGGTTTGGTGCCAATATCTGATAATTTAATAAATTATAAGTTATTAGCGTGTACCAGCGACTTCGTTCGCGTCGAATTAATCATTTCTAATGGTGATGATAAAGCAAAGTCAGAATTTCCATTAACATACAAACTGGATAAATTTTCTAACATTTATGTCAGCATGAGGAAAAACAATATGGCGATATTATTATATAACTTGGTAATATTTGAGGGGTAGTTTCATCTCGTTGGAATTTGACTTTCGAAAAATCCGTTTGCTTTTTACGTCAAGCAGTTTAAGCAGAATCGTGGTTGTGAATTGAGAAATTAGCCAACTTTTTGGACACCCTGTATGATTTTTTAAAAAAATTCAAAATATGTAAAAAAAACAAATAAATTATGCTTGTCCAAGCGTTTTCCCGAAAGACTAACCGTTTTTTAAATAACAAATATTGTAATATTTGAGGGGCGTTTTCACCCTCTTGGCATTTGAGATTCGAGAAACTCCTACTCATCGAACCTCTACACCCCACAGTCAATCCGTTTGCCAAAAATCAGCTTTAAACGTCAAGCAGTTTAAGCAGAATCGTGATTACTCAATGGTCATATTTTATGAAGCACCCTGTATAAATTTATAAAAAATCTTAAAATATGTAAAACAACAAAATAAAATATACGTCTTTAAGAGTTTTTCCGAAAAACTCACCGGTTTTTAAATAAAAAATACTTTAATATTTGAGGGATAGTTTTACCCCCTTAGAATTCGAGTTTCGAAAAATCCCTTCTTATCGAACCTTTACACCCTAAAGTCAATCTGTTTTCCAAAAATCAGCTTTTTACGTCAAGCGCTTTAAGCAGGATCGTGATTAATCAATGAGCAGATTTTTCGAAACACCCTGTATACATTTTTAAAAAATCTTAAAATATGTAAAAAACAAAATAAAATATACGTGTTTAAGAGTTTTTTCGGAAACTTGACCGTTATTAAACGGTTTTATTTAGCTCGACTCGTACGGTATTTATTTATTTGTTTGTTTATTTGGGTCAGAATTAGAAATTGAAATTTAAGTACCTTCCTGTTGTCAGATTGATCTGAAATTTGGTACACACCTTTAGTTACGTTGACAATACAATATAGTAATATCAATAACATTGTAAATCTAAGATGGCCGCCGGTACAAAATGGCGGATTTCATATTTTTCCACAACCCCCTCAATATGGGTATCAAATGAAAGGGCTACACTAGTAGAATACTGTGATTATGACAAAATTTAAAATCCAAGATGGAAGTCGTTACAAAATGGTGTATTAGGTGAGGGCATGAGTAGTCGTGTCCAGAACAGTTGTGTCCAAGATTGTGTGACGTTAGAAGGACAGATAAAAAAAATAGGTGATTAGATGTACCTACGTAGTTAGCGGTAGCTTTACCACCCAAGTTAAGGTGATAGGTTAAAACGTGCTGAGGACTGTATGGCATTAGGGTGGCTGAAAATGTAATGTCGCAAGCGTTTTCCCCTCAAGATTGGGCGCCTCTTGTTGTATATTATAGCCTTGCCCCTCTGCTGAACCTCTGGGGGGGTCGACCGTTAAAATGTCCATTACTCGTGGGAACAACATGGAAACAATAATAAAAAACAAACAAAAATAAAAATCGGTAAAAAACTTTTTAAGTTAAACGGTTTTATCTTATGTGCATGAAAACTAGAAAATAATAATAACATTTAGGTATTTTGAACTTCTAGTTCAGAAATATTTTAGTACTAGGCAGAATAGCTTTAAGGCATATTAGACTAAAATAAAAACGTGGGGCCCCTCTGAAATCCTACCTATGGCAAAGCATATCTTTATACTTTGGTAGATCATGAGCTCGGCGTTCGCTGGTGAAGCCGCCACGGCTGGTTATTGATTGTCAAAATCTCCAGTTACGATTATAGTAAGTCGATGCAATCCACACTTAGTATAGAAGAAAGTATTACAGCAATAGTTAATGGGTCCCACGTTTTTATTTTAGTCTAATATGCCTAAAAGCTATTCTGCCTAGTACTAAAATATTTCTGAACTAGAAGTTCAAAATACCTAATTGTTATTATTATTTTCTAGTTTTCAGTGCACATAAGATAAAACAGTTTAACTTAAAAGTTTTTTTACCGATTTTTTATTTAAATAAAAAATATTGTAATATTTGAGGGGTGGTTTCACCCTCTTGGAACTGGAATTTCGAAAAATCCCTTCTTATCGAACCTCTACATCCTAGAATCAACCTGTATGCCAAAATTGAGCTTCTTACGTTGAGTGGTTTGAGCAGGATCGTGATTAATTAGTATGTCAGTCACTTAAGGATTTTATATATTAGTATAGATTCTATAAGTTATTCTATTTATTGTTTTTGTTTGCCCTTTTTGCGAGCTAAGATATTCGCCCATGCACGCTCGAAAATTGTTAGTACACTCAACAAGGCCCTTATTCTCACAAACCACAAACATCGGCACGAAGGAACAGTAACCGATTTTATTTAGATTACTTTTAAACTGAAATTATTTACAGCATAAATAGATTCCATTAAATGCATACACATGTTATATATTATCTTTGTCAGATCAAATGAATAAGAAAAAGCTTTGGAACAGAATTACAACAAGAAAACAAAATAATATGATTTACTTAACATTAGATAAATAATGAGAAAACATTTACTTTACCTTTAATAACATTCTTTGTCACAAAACTCAAGAACCTAAATAATATCAATGCGTCTCGAATGGTAGTCTAAAAGCTATTATCTAACAACTATCATCTCTCCCTAGTTTGTGAATAATATTTTAAAAATCAATAATTTCGTTTATGTATACAGAGTGTCTTAAAAATGAATGTTTGAATTTAAATAAATATGTCTATTATAAAATAGGCGGTTCATCTCAATAGTTTACGATCATTTACAGTGTTTAAAAAACACAATTAAAATTAATAGAATATTCTAGCAACAGCTTGCTAAAGTTAGTCAGTTGTATCCATAGAGAAAGAGTAATATTTAGCTTATAAAACAATCAACTTTTGATTTCTAACCACAGTGTCTCTTGACGGCCAAAATGACATTTCTCGCAAATTTTGAAGTATATTTAGTGGAAAAGTTAAAAGTTTGTCAACTGTTTCTACTAATTGAAAATGTCTACCGCGAATTTGGACGTTCTGAATGCTTTTAATTGAAATTGTAATTAAAGAAACAAACTTCTACGCTAATTGAAACCATTAATTTATTCCACTAATTGCGAGTTTCTGAATGAAGCTTAAGGTACGTTAATTTAATAACAAATCATATATTTTACTTACAATTTAAAAATCAAACAGGGACTCTAATATATTCCAAACAAACCAGATATTGTTTATCGCACTCACGAAACCGAATTTCTAAATCAACTGCCGCAAGGTCAGATCATTTTTATACTAAATATTTTCATTCAAATTTATAGTCATCGTGACGACTGCGAGTAATCTAAACCGCTGAAATACAAATTAAACAACATGCATTCTCCTTAATTAACATGCCATTTAATATATCTATATAGTCATTTCCGTCAGTGTTATCCAATATATGATTTTAGACATATTTTGTGCAGATAAGATATGAACGGTTTAAAAGTAATAAATGTTATCATACAATGTTGTTACTATTTTTATAATAATAATAATAATAGTATCAGTTGGAAAAGGTGGAAATATATCCTATAATAATATCGTGTAATGGGTTAGTGGATAAGTACTTACCTCGCAATCTTAAGGCTATCGGCATACGCAACCCGAAGCAGCAAAAGTTTGCTGGCCGTACCCAGCAAGTGCTGTGAAAAAAAAAAACGCTTTATTATACAAAAAGCCAAAATTGCTTCATCGACAAAGCATTTACAAAACAAATAAAAGCACAAAAATATACAAATAATGAAAAATATCATAAAATACAAATCATAAAATTAAAAATGTTTTAGGTCATTAAAATTACTACATTAATACATGGGCATTGCAGAACGCAAAAAAAGCGTACCAATAAAAGTTTAAAATAGGAAAATTGTAAATGGATATAATCAATTAAGGGCCATAAAATATTAAACACCAGTGTGTGAGATGATCGTTGAATGAAATGAAAATTGTTCATGATTAAACATCAATAAAAAAATCGTTTACCGCATATAGAGCGCTCTCCAGTAAGTATGATTTCAGAGCTTTACGAAATGCGGGAAAGAATGAAATCGACTTGATATTCAAAGGCAGATGATTGTACATTTTTTTGGCATTGTACAGTATTGAGCCCTTAACTAGTTCTGAGCTCGGGGTTGGCAGATAAAGATCGTGCTCCGCATTCCTAAGTGGATTGTTGTGGGATGGCCTTTCGGGAATAGCAGATATGTGCTTGCGGATTAAGCAAACGGATTCAAAAATGAATAAGAAGGAAGAGACAGTAACTAAAAATTTTCAAAAAAATTCTGGCAGTGAGTTCTACTGTTCAGTCCCAATAAATATCGAACTGCTCTCTTTTGAAGTTTTTTATCGATCGCTTTTATACAGGGCGAGTCTTAAATAAGTGCAAATATTTTGGGGGTAGTATAGTTTGATCCTAGAAACACAATAGGCTCTTTCACAAAAAATAGAATACCCAATTCAAGGACAAAATCTGAAATAGAAGACTATTTTCAGTATATTTATCCAAAAAAATAGTTCCATGACATTGAATAATTGTTTTATAGGTCCTCAAAATGGCTTTAATTTGAAATAAATATAAAGCGCCAATTGATGACGTATGAAAAATACGCCCAATCACATTGTAGAACCGTGCTCTTGCGCCAGCCAACAACTGGCAACATTGCGATTTGATTTGACCAGCACCACCTCAACTCAAGGCCAATCAACATGATATGGGCAAGGCAAATATGGCGGCGAAGGCAGCGCATTATTAAATTGTTTACCTTTAACCTGAAAAGCCGGTAGTGGTTTCTCGTTCCGATTGCATACCAGAAATAATTAATTATCTCTAGTTTGTTGTGCTTCTGCAACACGTTTGTTTATTTCTTAGTGTTCAGTGCATGGTGTGATCAGAAAATTGTGATAAAATAACAGTAATAAAAATCCAAACCAGATTGATTCCACATAGGGAACTTCAAACTTTTGTGCTTGTCGTACTCCTCTATTATTAATTATTTTAAGGTAAGAACTAGAAGTATTTATGAAGATATTACACCTAAATGAGTAAAATGCCTTCACCGCCAGTCTGCATAGTACTTTATAATAGTTACTTACAATAATCAAAAGATAGGTATTAACATTTTATTGTAGCATACCTTTTACATGCTCTGTTCCAAATTGTCACGAGAATTATAGAGGGGGTCCCAAGGTTTCTGCTTTTATATTCCCCAAAAATGACGAGCTTCGTAAAAAATAGTTGACAACTATTAAAAAAGATAATTTCACTCCTACTAGTTGTTCTCGGGTAAGAAGTGCATTAAATATGCCTCAAAAAGGCCAAAGGCCAAAGCCTCTGTTACCCTAGTGAGGATGTAGTTATGGCTACTGCTTACACTTACCTCACTATAAGTAAAATATTGGAAGAATAATCAAGCTTTTACATCAAAAAGATCACAGAAAGATATTGACAACATTCACATTTGAAAATATAAATGGCCTGCCTTGATGTAAGTCTTTTTTTAAGTCACAATTGCCCCTCACATACGTCAGAATTTATTATTAAATCCATCTTGTTCAGAATATCCAATATTTTATTGAAGAACTATGCAAAAAAAGTCGTTATAAAAAGGTTATAAAAAGGTATTTATCTAGTTTTTTTCTATATAAAATCTTGAAACACATATTATATTTTTTAGTTATCCTCACCTATTATAGTTTAAATTTATTCCCATTTGTGTAATGCTGCTAAACATAGGAAAAGTATTCCATATTTTTTAACCCAAGCCAGTGTAGTTTATAATTCCAAGAGCATTTACCAAGGCTTTTACTAAGACAAGTAACTTCCTATACTGTCCATAATAGTATATATTTATCAAACGTGCAGTAAATTCTAAACTATGGTAGGTAAGTGTTTGCAATTGAATATTTAGTTTATTTTGCTATTTTCTGTCATATATTTCTGGTTATTTCTTTTTCCGATGATTTTGAACACCCTATATATGCTACCTCAAGTTTGAATATTTACACACTAGTACACTACCTACCTATTTTCTGAGAAAACGTAACTAACTGATGTTTTCATAAAAGTAATAATACAAAAAATTCCATACTTATGTGGAGAGCTTTAGACACCCTGTATATTAAAAAATTAGTGAAATATTACGTAATCTAACCCGACATTTGTGTGAAAAATGTCTATTTGGAAATAAAACAGGTTTTAAAATACCAAATAAAGCACTTCTATCTCCGCCATATTGGAAAAGGTTGAATGGCCTTGTGTGGAGGTGGTGGTGGGTCAGCATGGTGGCCCGGCCGTGTTGCCGCTTTTCAACATGCCAGGTGTGACGTATTAAAAATAAAGTGGGGATTTTTATTCCGGGCTTTTTTGTTTTTATTTATTTTCTTAAGAACGACTTCAAATTTTTCGAAAGTGACATAGCAGAAAATTCTAGAATTAATTGCTTTATTCAATTAAGCTAATTCCAAAATATAGTGAAAGAGTCCATTATGATGTTTTTTTTTTCGCAAAAAAATTGTGATACGCGTGATTCTTGGGCCTATTCTAAGAGAATAACTTCATATGAATATATGCTCTAAATATCTTAATATCTGTGATAGAATTTTCTAAAAAAATTTTTTTTCATAATAACTCTGAATGTATTACAGATATCTTTATGAAACATTATAAACGTCTTCTATGCATCAAAATACCTTTTTTGGTGTACAAAGAATTTTATTTATTTCAATCAGTGCCGTCCGTACGGGTTTTACGTTGAATATTTTTGGAGAAAAGTGGTACACTACTTTGCTTAAAAAAATTAAAGTCAGTTTACTTGAGGGCCAAATCGTTAAAAATCTGATGTGGTGAAGATCATTTCTGCATTGGCCGGAAGGGAACTAAGAAATGCATTTTTTTGTATAACAAAATAAGCATTTTGATGCTTGGAAAACGTGTATCAAATACAACATCAGAGATATTTCGAAAAAAATTAGAAAATTTTACCACCTTGTATCTGAAAAGTTAAGATGTTTAGGAAATATATTCATATGAAGTTTTTTTCTTATAATAGGTTCAAGAATCGCCTTCTCAAATGTTAGCATGTCATTAAGGAACACCCTGTATAAATTTTGAATAAGAATATAATCTTAATGTACTGATAATAATAATAAAATTGACAGATGAATTATTTTATTTACAACATACAAAAAATAAGTATTTTTTATTAAAATAGTTATACAAAATGAAAAATGATGAAAATCTTGCCCACATATTTTAGAAATCACATCCCTGGACCATCATAGTCAATTCTTTGATCTGAAAGGAAAGAATAAGATAAATTTCGATGATAACAAACCAAAAAAACATAGGTAATATAAAGTTTTCTTACATTAACATGCTCTGGAGTTGATAGAACGTAAACAATGGTACCAGCTACGTCTTCGACCTCTAGTCCTCCTCTGGTTTCGAAGTACGTCGTAGGTTCATCGGAAGAAAACCTGCTTATTATCTCCGTTTTGACATATCCCGGACTGATACTCTAATTAGAAGAAATTATAAGTTATTAATTGAAAAGCAAACTCAACAAGTTAAGGTGCGTATTCATTATCCGAACGAACGAACGAACGAACGAACGAACGAATGCAAGTGCGGTATATTTAGACGGGGACCGAACGCATGCGGCCGTTCGTTCGGTCGTGCGCTCGACCATCCGCTTCGAGTCGGTACACCAAAGGCGTTCGCCTGCGTGCGCTTTCAGATTTAAGGTGCGTATTCATTATCCGAACGAACGAACGAACGAACGAACGAACGAACGAACGAACGAACGAACGAACGAACGAACGAACGAATGAAAGTGCGGTATATTTAGACGGGGACCGAACGCATGCGGCCGTTCGTTCGTTCGTGCGCTCGACCATCCGCTTCGAGTCGGTACATCAAAGGCGTTTAGACGTCATGGTACAAAGAATACAAGGTATGATCGATAGCGGCTCCAATTTCGTTCAGTTCGCGCATACCACCTGTGACGTCACTAGGAAAATGAGGAATAAATAAAAAATAAAGAAAGTTGACAGGAGATCTGCATTTTTGAGGTTATGGTTAAGAATTTTTTATTTTTAAGACTTTTTAGTTCGTTTAATTTAATAATTACTAAAACCAGCAGTTCCAAAAATATATTTAAGAATAATAATTATATATTAACATGGATTTGGACGATAGGTAAGAATACTGAATTTATTTCTATATTCGGTATAAAATTGTTTATTAGGTTTTTAGTTTGCGATGTTTATGGTAAATAATTTTCATTTTCATTGCCTCTGAATTCACATGAGGACAGAGTTGAGGATATCTATGGAAAAGTAACCACAAGAGGAATTGTTACATCATTTAAAAAATATTGGGAAGTTTATTGTTTCCCATCGAAAAGTAGAAAATGCCAATGCAGATGAATGTATTGTAATTGTGATAGAAGTAATTCCAAGGGTGAAGTTTATTATGATTAGTGGAAGTAATTCCAAGGGTGAAGTTTATTATAATAAGTTACCTGTGCTTCTTTTTATATGTAGATGTTTCAGGTTTTGAGAATAAATCGGTTGAACAAAACCCAAAATTTAGAGGAAGTATGTGCATACCCAGAATATGCCCATCAAGGATTATATAGCTCAAATTTCCTTTAATGGTAGGCAATTATTCAATGCAAATTAACTTTTTAAGTAACTGAAATATTAAATAGTTTACAATTTGGTATATCATTAAAAATATATTACTTTTAGGTACAATTAGGGCCCGATACATTACAAAAAGTAGAATACCTATTATTTTATATTAAATGAGGTATTGTACCAACAATCAATTTATATTAATACCGGAGATTAAAAAATAACAGAATAAATAGTTCTTTTTTTTATACTACAAAAATAAACTATAGAATACAACAGTATTTAAAAAAATAAATAAAACGTTATGTCCCGGCCGAGATTCGAACTCCGGTCTCTCGCTTCCTAGCCCGACTCCTTACGCACTGCTTCACAGTAACTTGCTTAGCGATAATTCAATGACGGTATATAAACAAAAAAACAGGTTTATAACAATATCTTGACGATTTGAACTGGCGCCGAATGAAGAAATGCGTGCGGTCTTCTCGTGCGGTCCTATCGTGCGGTCCCCGTCCATACCACTAGCGTACGTTCGTTCGTTCGTTCGTTCGTTCGTGCGGATAATGAATACGCACCTTTAAGTTTTTATGGGTACTTTAGCCATTTTTTAATATTCTTATGAAAACGCAGAGTCAACTGTATAATATCCAAGTTGTGTGTGCATACGTACTGTTTTATTTGTGTCTTTTTTATTCAAAAAGTGTGTCTTACTGTTATTTTTATGGGAAGTCCGTTCCTGTTAACCTCTTTTCTCAAAGTTTCGGTTAGGGCAGTAACTGCGTGTTTCGATGCAGGATAGAGGGATAGTCCTGCAAAATCCAGGGGAACGTGTCCTGCAACGCTGTTTATCTGAACGATGTGCCCTTTGATGTTGTTGGCTTTCATGCTGATTATTGCTTCCCTAGTGGCTATTGATAGTCCCAAAACATTTGTGTCTAAAAGAATTAAAAAAAAATAATTATCGTATTTCTCGAAATTGTGTTAGGTATTTAGCTATACCCAATCTGTCCAATGGGTGGTTTCCTGATAGTGTACAATTTTACTTAATAACAAATGACAACAAATGAAGAAGGAAATTAAAGATAAAGGATCATACCTTTGAATAAGAAGACTAAGGAAGGAGCATAATGCTATCCATGTATTCATGCATGGTGGACGGAAAAGCCACCATAAAAGCTCTCTAGGGTGGGGATCCTTGACAGTTCTGTTTGACGATTCATTTGACACATTTGAATTTGATTTGAAATTTTGTGGATTTGTCAGTCTTTACGGAGCTTATTTTATGTTATTTATTATTTATTCTACTACTGATAGTTGTATAAAGGTAGTAAATCTAGATGGAAATTGTGGCAGAACTTAAATTAACAGTGACACTATCGCGATTTATCGAAAAAGACTCTAAAATAGGTGGTTGTGTAGCGTGCGGTAGATCTCGGCAAAAATCGAGTGAAATAATGGAACAACTTTTCGCTAGTAAGTGACTATATAATATACATACGTGTAGTAAAACCGATCATTTATGAAATTCACTTAAATTAACTTAGTATATATTTTTTCTTGCATTTTTGCTTTTATTTACTACTTGTCAAAGATTAGATGTCAAAGAATTTAGATACGTCAATTTGACTGACCTGCTTCAGTACCGTATCGGATGTTTATGGTTATAAATAATTATTATAACTTATCTATTTTTATTAGAATTTTATATTTTTATAACAATTTTAATAACTACCAACATGTATTCACAACGAAAAATAAAACAACAAATTATTGAGTCTACCCCACGTCTACCCTACATCATAGTTTTACATTTTTTAAATAAAATTAGAACGACACTGATAAACCGGAATTTAAGTCGGCCATATTTGAGGCCCATCGCGGTGTACCTAAGATTTTTGATATGCTCCTTCCTTAGTCTTCTTATTCAAAGGATCATACTATATCCGTATTGTAGCACATTTTTAGACAAATTAATTTTTAGGATTTTGATGGTCAAACTTCAACAAAATATTCCTTATGTCTGGACCAATTTTCTCGAAAATAAAGACATCATTCAAAATTCCGTTACAATACGGAAATAGACTGAAATTTTCTGATTACAGTGGTATATAATTTATAGGGTTTTGTAACAAATTGATCGCTATTTTATGACAAACGCTGAAGCTCTGCAAAATAAAAAGAGACTGGTAAATTAAATGGCAGAGAGAGGGACAACGTTCCCGTAGCGCAACTCAGAACGCAAAATTTCGTTCTATTTCTGTTGATCTGCGCATTGCGTCTATTGGGCCCACTATCTCATTCTAATATAACAAGAGAGAAAGAATAAGCAACCATATAAAACGTAATATCTAAATAGAAATTAGAACAATCGCCTTTCGTTTTCGTTATCATGACAACCAAGATGACAACAATTCCTCATGTTTGTTAATTTTTCTTTTGGTGATTTACCTTTTTTTTCTAAATTCTCTATTTTATTGACTTATGAATATAGATAGGGAACAAATTCCTTTGTTTTTTGTTGCTGCAGGACCCAGTATCATCTATTTTTTATATGTATTGATGCCCCCTTTCTCTGATAGATATGTTAAAGACACCCGGTAAAATAAAAATAAGTAGTTATATTTATCATCTTATTAAGAAAAAAGTAGAAGTAGTAGTGTCAAAAATATTTCGAACCACTCTTAACATAACAAATTAATACAATTAATTTTTTTTATTTTTTGGGTAGGTAATTTATAGCTGGTTTATAGTAACCGGAAACTTTATTAATATACCTATTTTACTATTGTTTTAGGATTAAAACTGGACTTGAAAATGGTTCAGGATCATGATTCTCGTTAAGTCTTCTTTGCTTGGATATTCTCCTTGTTATTGCAATTAGGCAGTTTTTTCGAAAATGAGATTTTTAATGCCCTTTGAAAAAATTGGCCGATCGTTTCCTGCAACAGTCAGTTCTTCTGCAGTTAAAATTGGTAGGTGGGTGGAATAAACACTGTTGTTTTTTGTTATTATATTATAAAAAGTTTATTTATTTTTATTTATAAAACAGTACAATTTTTGCTTTTTTTATAATTTCCCTTATAATAGTTTTCGTTCTGAATAGTTCTTTCGTTCTGAAAGAAACTACAAATTTTCACTTAAACTGATTTATTCCCTACACCACGCTCCCTTTACGTGGTATAGGGAATAAATCAGTTTAAGTGAATATTTTCAGTTTCAGAATGAAAGAATACTACTAATAATAGCTAATTTAAATTTTCCGCCAGCCAGAATATGCGATAATGTCTTACGGTACGTTTTATACCTATCTCTTTCTTTTTCATATAAAGCACACATAATAAAGAAAGATAGCAATAAAGACGTACGCCCTGCCATGGTCCTGCTAATTGGTTTCAAAATTGTTATTCTGAGTTGCGCTACGGGAACCCGGTCCCACTCATTACCATGAGATTTGTCAGTCTCTTTTTATTTGTTTGTCTATGACTATAACTCAACGTTCTCTGTGGATGAACTATACTTTAAAAGCTTACCAAGTATTTGTCTCCACTTCTTAATATCACCATCGATGAGATCTGTACTGGGTACCACGCCGGCATTATTGATTAGGACATGAATGGGTCCTAAGATGTCTGTAATTTTCTTAAAGGTAGCAATGACTTGGTCTTCGTCAGATATATCACATTTGAAGGGATAAAATTTGCCTTTTTCATTTTTTAATTGTTGTTTTATTTGTTCTAAACGGTCTAATCTTCTAGCTAATCCGGCAACCTATTAAAAAAATTATTTAAATTATTAACTCACCGGCAAAAAAAACCGGCCACTAAAAACCAGTCCCAATTTCAAAGTTGGATTTCTCTCGAACCACTCATTAGATTTTCATGATTTTTTTTTAAATTGTAAATTAATTCCTTCTTAACGGATGTTACGTCAGCAATTTTTATTCCGAATTTATTTTGAGCATATACAGAGCACAACAACACAAATATAACACTCGTCGTCCGATGAGTCCTCCGAATCCAAGCTGGTTTCCTCTACAAAACCGACATTTGCACAATAATCAACGTTTCCTTCACATGCACACATCTCTGTGCATACCACACTTAAAGTGGAACATTTGCAGCATTGGGAGCAATTAGTTGATCACATATTATGGGTTCAAATTCACCATTAACCAATTTCCACCCATATTCCGCTGCTGGTGGTAACCAAGGATGGGGAAGTATGTCTCTATACCATTCCATGCATTGATAATGGCATCTCAGTATTGCTGGTTTCAGAGCTGCTAAGGTTGGTGGCATATTATCGCTGTAACTTTATTTTTGGCTAAAGATCCACCATCTCAGGTCGGATAACTTGCTAAACCTTTTCTTTGTTGGTGAGTACACACTGCAAATAAAAGATTCGATTTCTTCAATAACAGATTCAGCAAATATTTCATTTTTCCCAAGAGCAGCTAACGCCTGAAGTGTTGGTGGAGAAGCTGTTAGAAACTTTTTCCAAAAGCTAATTTTTGATTTATCTTTGAAGGAACCTGTAACGTCAGCTCCTGACAATGCGTGAAGTCCTGGAAGAGCTTCTACCTTTAACTCTCCCAACGAATCATAAATTGGTCGTAAACGTATCTCCTGATTACTTGATCCGATGCTTACAAAGTTTGTAAGCATAAGTTCTTCTGGAAACAAAGAAAAACGTCTCAAAGCAAGTAACAAAACGTCAGTATCTGGTGAAAATATTTTTATCCTATTGACTCCTCTCTTAGATGCATGTACAGAATGAAATATTAATTTTGGATCAGCTTCTTCGTGTGAGCTCTGCAAGTCCATCATATTGTCACAAGCAGTTGTAGCCAATATGAAATTTTCCGAGGAACATAACACTTTGCGATTAGTTTCATTTTCCAGTGATATTAGATGTATTGAGAAATATTATATATAGCAGCTTTTTTAGATTTGTGTTGTTAAGACTAGTTTTATCACTAACTATATATTGTATAGGGTCTGCTCCTTTTTGCCTTCTGACCCTTTCCATTGATATAAAAGAGTCGTGTTTATACGAGTCAAAAACAACGTGAATTTCAGAATATGCAGAATATTTTTTTAAAATCTTGGTTTAAAACTGATTTGACAAATCAGAAAAGTATTCCACATTTTTAAACGATAACATTTGCACTTCTGCCATACCATCAACAACTGCTACACTATAAGGCTGTTTTAAGATATCTACATCCACATTACTAACTTTGGAATCATTGTGAACAAGCTCTTCTAGAAGATGTCTAATTATATTTATAAACTAAGAACTTTTTCACTGGCCATGAATCATTGAGCCATCGGAATAAAATAAAGACCGTGGCAAGGTAGTTAATTTATATTTTCCAATAATCTTCTTTAAGCTTAAATCAGCACGACTTCTACATATGTATAAGAACGCAAGCCCTACTATCCCTGACTTGGTTTTAACAACAATCTTTTTAGTCATGGACTTATGCAAATTAATGTTATTTGACTTTAGTGGGTCCCAAAAATATAATATAACTTAATAACAACTTAATAAGAAAGTGTGATATGGGGTAAGAAAACTACATTCGCATGTTCTTACACTTTACTTAAACAATGAAGTTTTGCTTACTTTAGTTATTTATCAAAATTAATTATTCATTAAAACATAAAAAGAATTTTTTTTTATTTTAGGGGTGACATATTATAAGGAGTGAATACCACCCTCTTATACACCAGTACAAATTTTAATTTAGATTTATTTTAAAATTTGAAACATGAAAAGAATATAGTATTTTTAAGTAACACGTATACATCGCAAGGGGTAAAACTCACCCCTTGTCACTTTTTAATCCATATTTTCTGTTATCTTAAATCGAAAAAAGAGTTTTTAAAATTATGCAACAATTTGTTCCATAATTTTATTTAATTTAATTTTTGTTCCTTTAGGGGTGTTAAAGGGGTAAAATATACCCCTCTACCATATTTGCTAGAGAGGGCCCATCAATATTCATATTCTACAAGGTTTTCTGAAAATTTTAAGGTATGGCGCAATATTGTATCACAAATCTGCACACGGGATCCCATATTGGACAAATTGAAATCGGACTAATAGACAAAAACGGATTTATGAGTATTTGCAATATGAGATAAACGGTTGTCAAATTAAAAAATGCCATTATGTGTAACGGATGTTGCTCGTATTGTGGCTTTAATTGATATTATAATAACTAGATATTAGTCCCTTAAAATTTCTTTACCTTTTTTTTAATTTTCTTGTTTTAGTTAGTTTACGTCTACGTTTTGATGTTTGATTTGATTTTAAAGCTTTTTTCAAGGCGTTTATTTTAAAGCAGCGTATTTCCAATACAAACAGAGATAATGTCGTGATTAAAAAAAAACAAAATGCTCAAATAAGATGAGGCTACAATGTGATTTAATTTAGCAATAGCTACTACAGCTGCTGCACCCTACAGGGTGTTACAAAGTTTGGGCAATAAACTTCGTCTTATTGTTGTGCCCTGTATATGCTCAAAATAAATTCGGAATAAAAATTGCTGACGTAGCATCCGTTAAGAAGGAATTAATTTACAATTTAAAAAAAAAATCATGAAAATCTAATGAGTGGTTCGAGAGAAATCCAACTTTGAAATTGAGACTAGTTTTTAGTGGCCGTTTTTTTTTGCCGGTGAGTATATGTAAAATACACTCTTTATATTATAAAAAGTGAGTCTTAAATAAGAGCAGATATTTTCAAAGCTGGTAGATCCCGATAAAAGAAATATATTTTCTCTTTACCGTTTTTCAAATAAATCCAAAATAACCGAGTTGCTAACATAAACATCAGTGGTAAAATATGTCTTTTTGCGGACGACACTAGCTTCACTTGGTGCAACAAGGACGTCACGGCACTTCATAGGATTATATCAAATGACTTAATCACCATTAAATTTTGGTGCGATTCGAACCTCCTGAGTCTCAACATTTCTAAACTAAAGCTTTGTCTTATAAAAACTCGCTGCAGCCTTTTGTACTTAATAACACCACCATTGACGTCGTAAAATCTGTAAAATTCTTAGAGCTTGTTGTAGACAATTCTCTAAAATGGGACATGCATATCGACACTTTGTCGAAAAAATTAAGCTCTGCCTGTTTTGCATTAAGATCTGTTTCTAAGGAGCTTAACTTGTCAGTGGCTAGAACTGTTTATTATGCACTTTTTGAGTCGCACCTCAGGTATGCCCTTCCAATCTGGGGTACGTGTTGTGCGACTCAATTTGACCGTATTTTCAAGCTCCGGAAGAGAGCTGTTCGATATTCATTGGGACTAAACAGCAGAACTCATTGCCAGGACTTTTTAAAAAAATTAGATACTCTTCTTTCCTTATTTACATTTGAATCCGTTTGACACTTGTTCACTCAGGAACGCGGAGCAAGATCTTTATCTACCTATCCCACGTTCAGAGTTAGTTAAAAGTTCAATATTATACATATAATTTATTATAAAAACCGAATAATCGTGTTTCCGGGGTTGAAATATACTACCCCTAAAATATTTTCACTAATCTAAGACTCACTCTGTATATTTATCCAATATTTTGAATAAAAATTGTCATAACTTAAAGTAAAAGAATGTTAACATAATTATTGTCTATACAGGGTTGATCACCACATACGACACGTTGTATTTTTTTAAATGGAAAACCCTGTATATTATTACATTTTTAGTTTCTACGATTAAAATAAAGGTAAATTTGATTAAGGTTTATTATACTTAAACCTTACCGTTTTTGAAATATTTTCAATTTTGTGAAATTGCAGTAAAAATTTTAAAGCTTCATTTCTCCAATATGATGCAAAAAGAAAACTATTTAAATCTTTATAAAAGAGTATACCATTAAAATTAAATATAACACCATTATTTCCGCCCATATACTAATTAATTACATACTTAATTGTGTTTGTTAATAAATTATTATAAATAAATGTGGATTTGTGTCAGAAATCAATATAATAATAAGTTATCAAATTAAAGTCTCTGTTGTTATAAATAAGCATTTATTAAAAAATGAAATATCATTTTTAAGGTGTTACTTTTTTTCACACTGTCTAATGCCCATACAAAATTCAGTTTTTTAGTGTTTGGAGCAATTATTATTAATCAACGCAAACAGTCAGTTAATGTAGTTTGAATACTGGAATCATATTAATTGGTCCTCTTTAACAAATATTTAAACAGTTTTTTTTTTAATGAAATAAACGAATTATATCGACAATATTAGTATCTGTACTCTTTGAAAATTTTGTACATCTTTAAAAATAATCTAAAATGTCAATAGTCCATGGGTATATTGATAAATAAGCTCTAAATTACAAGAAAATGCATTTTCTACGGAAACTTAAAGAGATAGGTAAAAAATGGTATAATATAATTTGATAGACAATTAAATTGTGCATCCGATTCTCGTAAAATATACAGGGTGTTCTATTTAAATTAAACAAGTTATTGCCGTTTGAATCTAACAATTATTTAAAATAAATTTTTAGACACTCTGTATAAGGTAGTATTATTTTTATTATTGCAACACAATAACTGATCAGTAAATAAACTTCAGTAAATATTTAGTATTAAAAACTTTGATACCCTTGGAGAAATGAAGCCTTAAATTTTTTACTGCAATTTCACAAAATTGAAAATATTTCAAAAACGGTAAGGTTTAAGTATAATACATCTTAATCAAATTTACCTTTATTTTAATCGTAGAAACTAAAAATGTAATAATATACAGGGTGTTCCGTTTAAAAAAATACAACTTTTATATTTTTTACTTATTTGGGACACTCTGTATCTTGTAAAATTATTTTTAAATTGTACCTCTAATAGTCCTTCATCGAACCCAAAACTTACAATTCGTAAAAATCTAATCGTTTAGCTACAATACTCCGTGTCGTATGTGGTGAACAACCCTGTAGAAAAATGGTCCAATGTTTGGATTACTGGCTATTTTCAAACATACATTTCTACAGAATATTTGAAGAAGAAAAATAGAAAGAAAATAACAATAAAATATCAGAAAAATATGCTAACAATGGCATAAAATTAAAAAAAATAAAAAATATAATAATTGTTAGCTTAAATGTTTTTGGTTAATTTTACTTACAACTACTCCATGTTTCACTAAAGCTTCTGCTGTAGCTTTTCCAATACCAGCCGATGCACCAGTGACCACAGCTACTTTACCAATAAACCTATCAAGAGACATTTTTGTATGTGGCTGTAACTGAACTAACGTAGCGAAGAAAAGTGCACCGAATTTTATTTTGAAAAAGGCTACGTTGCATTTAAATACAACTAAACGCTCTGAATTCGTTGATAGATAAAATATTTGTCCATACAAGGAGAATAAATACAGTATGTCCCCGCATTGTCTTTACAAAAGAATTTTGTTATTATTGACATTTTCAAAAAAATACATTCTTCATAAAAAAAATTGCTTGTTCTAAAATGGTCAATCTCGTTTATACTTTTCCAAATTTCCATACCGTTTTAGAGAAAATTAAAATAAAGCTCATACACATATACACAAAATAAACTATTATCAATAATAATAGTTATATTATACAGGGTGCTCATGAACACATAAAGAAATTAAAAAAAAATTGTTTCAACGGCTTTTCTCTATTTTTTAACTCACGAAAAGGAAACAAAATAGATTTTTAAATCGCGGTGATTAGCCCTTCCTCTTCCTCATTCTACAAAAAAACAGTGTCGAGTTAGCTTGGAAAAGACGATCGATTGCATTCACTACATAAAAAAATGGGCAAAAATATTTTAATTTTGAAGATAATATTGAGCTTCAATTGGTAATCTTTAGTGAAATTGGCTATACTGGGTGCGTCTCAAAAATAGCGTACCCCCTATAACTTTTTTATTTTTTCAGATAAAAAAAACGAGATTGATTGACGAATACAATTGTTTTCGGTTTTAGGTACCTATATGTGGTATGTAATTACGCATTTCTGCTAATCGTGTAGATAATTAATATAGGCTAATAATAGTGTTACGGATTCCGTGGGTCCACTATTTAAACTCACGATAAAATACTTAACGAATTTATTTGTTTCACTCTGTACACACAACTTATACTATTTACAACACAACTTATGCAACTACTATTACTCTAACGGTATTTCGCGGTATTTTCAAACTTCAGACTTCAGACTATCTTCAGACTTTAGACTTCAAACTTGTCCAACTGTCAAAGCGCGGGCCTTATATACCCCCTGGCGGTTGTTTCTAGATTTTTCTAAAGAATTCTATAATTTTCTTTACTTTCTGGCGAATGCGCCAGGTTCCTCAATGCACGTTGCGATTTTTTAGCAGTATGCAGTTATGCAACCAGTAATACACCTTGACATTGCCCCCTTCTCAAATTTGATCGTCCCGATCAAGGTTTCCTGTCTGGTATCTCTTCAATCGATCCAGATGAACTACTTTCATCTTACTTCTAGGGCTGCGATGAATCCGGTACACAACATCATTTATCCTCTTGATGACTGTATAAGGACCTTCCCATGCTGGAGTTAACTTTGGGGACCTTCCTTTCTTGCGCTGTGGGTTATACAACCATACCCTATCGTCCTGTTGAAATCCCGTAGAATTAGCTCTGAGGTCGTAATGAGCTTTCATCCGGTCACTGGCTAGCGCAATCTTACTTCTAACGGCCTTATGAATGTCCAATAATCTTTCCTTCCTAGCGATTCTTTCGAACGACAGTCCAACGCTATCCTGTTCCATTTCTTCCCCAGATCGAGTACTTGGTCTTTGTCTAGCTGCGCAAATCTTACAACGTTGACACCATTTCTTAACATCTTCGCAATAATCCACCCAGTAAAAACGGTCTCTCAGCTTACTCAAGGTCTTGTTTACTCCAAGATGGGCTCCAGTTTTACCACCGTGAATTTCTTCCAATACCTGGGTGACTTTCTTCCTTGGTACCAGTAACTGAGTTGTTACTGTCCTGCCATCCGCACTTTCCCACGTGCGCTTTATCAATCCATTCTCAATCACCAGTGAATTCCACTGAGCCCAGAGAGCTTTGAAAACGAGCCCTCTGTCCGCAATATCCTGCCACGGTGGTCTCTCGCCGTTACCTTCCTTGAGCCGTAGTATTGCTCCGATGTCTGGATCTTCCATTTGATCTTTCCTCAACTGTATCGTCGTCCATTGTTCGTCAGTTCTCAGTTTAAAATTCCTTACTCTGATAGTGCTTTCGCGATGTTTCATTTTCTTGCCCAAAGTAGCTCGTCGTCGATCTGGCTCGTTGTCGATAATTTGTACCCGTCCTACACGGCACCAACGGTTTTCTTTAGTTTCCCGAACACAGTCTTCTTGGTATCACCAGGTATCATCACAATTTTCGATGATCTTTCTTCCATATTTCCTGGTCTCTTCTCTTTAGATACAGAAAATTCCTCATTTCCGATTTTCAGGATGTTTCTATGGTGATCAAACGAAAAACCATGTTGACTGATCACATCCATACCCATGATAAAATCATCTTCAATGTCTGCCACTAAAACGCTATGCCGAAACTTCTAATTCCCTAACTCCAATTCCATGAAAGCCTCTCCCCGTACAACGGTCATTTCCCCCGTAACTGTACGTAAATACACTCTTCTTCTAAGAGGCATCATCTTCAATTCTTGCACTGAGTTAGTCCGCACCAACGATACCATAGCGCCTGTGTCCACAGTCATTCGAATTCTTCTACCATTGACCTTCCCGTTGATCATCAAACTGTCAGCGGTTTTTCCTAGACTCCTAACGGAAAACATCCTAGGGGCTCTGTTTTCTTCAGTCAATACTCGCTCATTAGTGTTGATTTCCTGGTGCCCATGTTCTCTCGATGGTAAACGGAATCGCATTTGGACGCGGCAATCCCGTTTGATGTGGCCATTCCTGCCACATCTATAGCAACTTATGTCCTGGGATCTTCCGATGTGCCGATGTTCCCTGGATGGTGAATGGAATCGCATTTGGATGCGACAATCCCGTTTGATGTGGCCATTCCTGCCACATCTATAGCACCTTATGTCCTGTGATCTTCTATGGTTCTCTGTCTGGGTGTTGTTGCTACTCTTGTTCACTAGTAACTCACATAGTTTACTAAACATCTCCTCCAAACGTATGTGAGAACTTCCGGGCTGTTCCTCGACCGTTACCGATCTTATCTTCGGTCTAGGGATGGCGCTAAAAGCAGCTTCAATTTCTAGCGCCCTGACCAGTGCTTCGCTGCTGGTAGAAAATCGGGATATTTGCAGCGCCCTCTGCAATTCGTTGTCCCTCAGTCCGCTGATAAAGCACTGAGCAGCCAGTTCTTCCCTAAATCCTTCCGGCGCTTCTGGATACGCTAGGTGTACCAGGCGACGTAAGTCTGCTTCGAATTCCTGCAGACTCTCTCCGGACCTCTGCAGGCGTGTCTTGATCTGTGCCTGGTAAAGTTGGCGTCGATGTTGGTCGCCATATCTTCTGTCCAGTGCAGCGACCAAAGTTTGGTATTCCTGCTGTTGGGCTGCAGGAATAGTTTGCAGGAGTTCCAGGGCAGGGCCACGCAGCGCGATGACAAGTGCCGCTGCTTTCTCCTGGTCGGTCCATCCGTTGGCAGCGGCGGCTGCTTCAAACTGGCGGTGGTACATCGTCCAGGTCGTTTGTCCATCGTAGGTCGGTGCCTTGAGGTTCGCAGTTCCAGAAACGCCAGGTGTCCTTACTTGTACCTTGGTCTTCTGTAGGTCCATCTCTAATTTTTCCATTTTCTGCTGAAGGCGCTCCTTCAAATCTTCTACGACTTCTTGGAAGTGGGTCTCTTGTCTTCGTTCCGAATTTTCGATACTCTGTTGAATACGGTCCTGCTCTTCTTGTTTGTCTTGTTGTCGCTGAATTTTTAAATCTTCTAAAATTTTCTCAAGCCGGTCCTGTTCTTCTTGTTTGTCTTGTTGTCGCTGAATTTTTAAATCTTCGAAAATTTTCTCAAGCCGGTCCTGTTCTTCTTGTTTTTCTCTACGATGTCGCTCCTCGAAATGAATTTCCAAATTACCCAACATTTTCTCAAGCCGGTCCTGTTCTTCTTGACGTCGTAATTTTTCCTCTTCCTTTTCTCTCTCTAATTTCTCCATAAAATCTCCCAATAATTTGCTTACTTCTTCCATTTTCTTCGCTTGCTGTCTCGTACCAACCATAAAAATTCCCAAATTCGGTGTAAAATCTTCAAAATCCACTTAAATCGCACTTCCGACATCAATTGTTACGGATTCCGTGGGTCCACTATTTAAACTCACGATAAAATACTTAACGAATTTATTTGTTTCACTCTGTACACACAACTTATACTATTTACAACACAACTTATGCAACTACTATTACTCTAACGGTATTTCGCGGTATTTTCAAACTTCAGACTTCAGACTATCTTCAGACTTTAGACTTCAAACTTGTCCAACTGTCAAAGCGCGGACCTTATATACCCCCTGGCGGTTGTTTCTAGATTTTTCTAAAGAATTCTATAATTTTCTTTACTTTCTGGCGGCGAATGCGCCAGGTTCCTCAATGCACGTTGCGATTTTAGCAGTATGCAGTTATGCAACCAGTAATACACCTTGACAATAGTTTAATCATCATAATTTACCTTGTATAACTTGCTTTCAGTTCACCGATCAGAGTCTTTAAAGTAGAGATACCGAAAAATCCTTGGCAAAGAATATCCCAACATCCTTGGGTCTAAAGCTAAAAAAATATAAAAACAGTTAATATAATACCTATTTTTACATATAATATGGCCCATACCTACTACACGCAGAAACGTCGATTTCATCATTTTCTTCATGTGATTAATATCATATAGGTATATACTTTATTAAAGTGTTAACAAGGAACTTTATATCAAAAAACATCTTTGCACTTATAAATTTCAGCTGAAATATCATAGACAAACTAAACAAACTTCCAATCAAATCTAAACGGCAAAAATTAAAATGGCGCCCGACCTTGCCAGAGGCCTCGGGAGCTGACACACAGACACAAGAAGAGGACGCCGACGTGCATAAAAATGTTCCGTAACAGAAATCATATTGAAATATTCAGATTTTTGTCTAGGACAGTCTAGAAGGCCATGCTTTTTGCCTGGGTAGAACCGCGCCAGAACTGTTTCCAATTTTCCGGTTTACTGTTAAAAACTGTCGAAAACAATTCAAACACGTCAATCAATCTTAATTTATGATATATACTAACATAGAAAATCTCGTTTTTTTAACTGAAAAAATAAAAAAGTTATAGGGGTGAGCTGCTTTTGAGACGCACCCGGTATATGCATCGACTATACGGTCAGTGACTTATTAGTTCAACTAATATCTAATTATTTCGTCATATAAAACTGTTTCTGATAGAAAGAATGACAAAAAATGCGCAACAATTGATTGTTTAATGTTTAATATATATAACTTATTAAGACAATTACTGAGATAAAACAACAACTGTTCTATAGATTTTTATTTTGTTAATGATGTCATGTTATCTACTGGGTTATTAAGAAATATATTCAGAATTATTGGTAGTAAAAATCTGATATACCTATAGTCTGTCCAAATTTAACGTTCGGGTTTATTTTTGATTGATGCCTCTAACTAAAACAGCTTTTAATAATAGAGAACCAAGCCGATAATTAATATAATATAAAATAAAGATTTTAATCTTTACAAAATTGTGACATTTTGTATTTCAAATTTGAGTTTATGCTTCTGGAACAGGATCTCCTTGCACAACCACTGTCAATTCTTTAATCTGCAAAATTAAAATAAAAGAAGATATATAAGAAATATGATAAACTAAATTAAAAAATTACTCACATTTACATGCTCTGGCGTTGATAGTATGTAAACTATATTATCTGCCAAGTCTTCAACTTCTAGACCACTTAGGTTTGTATAAAAATTCATCACATCTTCAGACACAGTGTTTATCATTTCAGTTTTGACATATCCAGGACTTAAACTCTAACAAAATAAATATAAATATAATACAGGGTTTCTCACCGTAGCCGTTAGTTAGAAGTTTTTGAGGTTGGGAAAAACTTAGAAGTTTGAAATTTTGAGACTTAGGGTTATTTAACCTTTCCTTTCATTTAAAAATATTTTCAAGGCCAAACCACTTCCGGTTGCACCGGAAGTCGACATTAACTTCCTTATTTTAAATGGAACACCCTGTATATTATTTTATTTTTAGATTTCTAAGAAAATTTTGAGTTTCATTAGGTTTCCCTATACCTATTTTCAACTGTTTATCAGATATCTTGATTTATTTGAGAATGTTTACAGATTTAACACTCGGTCTTTTACTCATTTTGAATCGGTAATAAACGCTTCTGCGGTAAACCGAAGCAGAGTTCTAATACTTTCAAAATCCATATTGACAATTAATTTATTGCATACAGGGTGTCCAAAATTTTATAACTGATTAGATTATTAGAACTCAAAATAGTTCATTTTTTCAAATGAGACACCCTGTATATTTTTCGATAGTTGGATGCAGAATTCAATTCTGCATCTATTTGCTATAACTTTCCCTATACCCATTTTCAACGGTTTTCTTGTTAATCCGTATTTTTTTCTTTAATTCAATTTTTGGCAGAATCGACAATATCGTTTGTGTTTTTTAAAAGAAAATAATTATGTTAATGTAAAGAAATTGAATGTAATTAGAACATACGAACAAAACAGGAACAAAACAAAAGTTAAAACGTATAAAATATAACATAACATAAAAAAACAAATGTATTTTCAACAGTAACGGTGAGGCATTAATTATTAATACTAGACGTTAGGGTATTCCTACAATAATAAAAAAAAGTTAACTCAATAATTACAAAAATTCTCGTTCATAGCGGTCACTTCGAACAATAATTTTTGTAATTATTGTGTTTACTTTTTTTTATTATTGTAGGAATACCCTAACGTCTAGTATTAATAATTAATGCCTCACCGTTACTGTTGAAAATACATTTGTTTTTTTATGTTATGTTATATTTTATACGTTTTCACTTTCGTTTTGTTCCTGTTTTGTTCGTATGTTCAATTACATTCAATTTCATGCTTTTAACATAATTATTTTATTTTAAAAAACACAAACGATATTGTCGATTCTGCAAAATTGAGTTAAAAATAAAAATATACAGTTAAAAAGAAAACCGTTGAAAAATGGGTATAGGGAATGTTATAACAAATCGATGCAGAATTGAATTCTGCATCCAATATCGAAAAAATATATAGGACGTCTCGTTTGAAAAATGAACTTTTTTGAGTTTGAAAATAATCTAATCAGTTATCGAATTTTGGACACCCTGTATGAGATAAATTAGTTGTCAATATGGACTTCGAAAGTATTAGTCCTCTGCTCCAGTTTACCGCAGAAGCGTTTATCACCAATTCAAAATGAATAAAAGACCCACTGTTAAAAATAGGGGTAAAAATGTAAAAATTTTCAAATAAATCAAGATATCTGAGAAACAGTTGAAATTAGGTATAGGGAAATTTAATGAAACTCATCATAACATTTTCTGGGAAATCCAAAAATTAAATAATATACAGGGTATTCCACTTGAAATAAGGAAGTTAATGGCAACTTCCGGTGTAACCGGAAGTGGTATGACCTTGAAAATACTTTTAAATGAAAGGAAATTTTAAATAACTCTAAGTCTCAAAATTTCAAACTTCTAAGTTTTTCCTAACCTCAAAAACTTCTAACGAACGGCTACGGTGAGAAACCCTGTATATAAACAGGGTTGTTCACCACATACGACACAGAGTATTGTAGCTAAACGATTAGATTTTTACAAATTGTAAGTTTTGGGTTCGTTGAAGGACTATTAGAGCTACAATTCAAAAATATTTTTACAGATACAGATTGTCCCAAATAAATAAAAAATATTAAAGTTGTATTTTTTAAATGAAACACCCTGTATATTATTACATTTTTAGTTTCTACCATTTAAATATAGGTAAGTTTGATTAAGGTTTATCATACTTAAACATTACCGTTTATGAAATATTTTCATTTTTGCGAAATTGCAGTAAAATTTTTAAAAATTTATTTCTCCAAGGGTATCAAAGTTTTTAATACTAAATATTTACTGAAGTTTATTTATTGATCAGTTATTGTGTTGCAATAATAAAAATAATACTACCTCATACAGAGTGTCTAAAAATTTATTTTAAATAATGTCTAGCTTTAAACGGAAATAACTTGTTTAATTTAAATGAAACGCCCTGTATATTTTAGGAGAGTCAGATGCACAATTTAATTGTCTATCAAATTGTATTATACCACTTTTTACCTATCCCTTCAACCCAGATAGCACAAAAGGAACATTTACATTCTAAGAATATTCCTCATAAGTTCTTATAAGTATATTCTTTTTTTAATAAGTATGGCATATGAATAGTACATTCTACTATGAATGTGATTTAAAGGTATATTATCAGCATGACCTTAGAATGTCTTCTTAAGTTATGGTTTACAATAAATTTTAAGTATCTGCTATTCACGTTCTAAACATATCAATATCTGAATAAAAATAAAGGAGAATAAAAATGATTTCGAAATGAAAAAATGAATAAAATACATTATATTTGTATATTTTCTTACTATTAATTTTTTGTGTATTAAATAATTAGGAATTTTATATATTAGCACAGATATTAGTGTATATATAGATGCACTGTAACCAAATATTCAAGCAAAAATACAGTGTTTCTTATTCTAACAAATAAATAAACCTGTAAAACTGTATAAATAAAAACGATCATCCATTATGAAATAAAAAGATCGATTATACCAAAAGATAGTTTGATAAAACTCGATAGATTTTAATCGATTTTTTGGGTAAAAAGATCGATCTTCGATTGAAATCGATTCGAATCGTACATCCATAACATAACCTACAAAAAAACAACAACTTAACTATAAACGTAAACGTGTGTTATCGATACCTCCCTAATTAAAATACAAAAATTGGCAACCCCGGAAGTGGCAACAATGCGAAAGAAAAGATTATGAAGAAGAGAGTCGCTTACCGGCTTCGAAAGACGTCGTCACGGGATGGTCACGGTCACAAAAAGAATAAGGTGGAATTTTCGAGGCGAGCAGGTGTCCAATACAAGCGTAATGGTTTTATTTTCTAGGTAAGATCCTTTTTATTCCCTATAAAATTCAAACAAGTAGATTATCGATCTCGATCGGTAGAGCTAGCCGGTAATAGGTATTAATCAATAATATTAATAAAAAATCGAGAACGATAACATGGCGCCCAACGTGGGGCCTGAATAGAACGATTCTGTTCGGATCTACGACTGTAATTGTAATATATACTTATATGATGTGATTTTGATTGTAAATAAAGAAAATATTGTGTTTTATTTAGTTTTAAGTATATATATCTTTTGGTTTACGACTGATTCTTTCAATGTTTCCTAGTACCTAAATTAGACAATTTGACCTTGAAAAAATTTTGAAATATTGGATATTTCACAATAACTTTTAATTTTCTTGCAATTGGAGTTGGTTTTATCAAGTTTTAGTTAAAATATTCTTATAATCGAGTATCCTTATCATTAAAAACATTCCCGTAAAGATATTTAGAGTTTTGAGAATCGGTTTGACGATGGCCTACGTTGATAGTGACGGTGACGAGTTTTTTGACTCGTTTGAGACCTTAGATGAAACAGAAGTCGAAGATTTTCTCCATTACATCATCCAAAACAATATATATACCAAGATGTACCAGAAAATTACGTATATCCAAATTATACATTTCAAGAATGTTACAAGTTTACAAGTCGTCCAACCCAGCATTGTCCATCTTCGGAGACACCTTGCGAAGTACCTCCTGTGTATGATTATACTCCATTCAACAATAAGTGTCATTTTCAACAACACAGTAGTGAACAAAATGATAAGTTTTATCAGTCAAGCCTTATCGAGAACAGTTTACTAAAAAATCAACATAACCAATAAATCAAATCACATACAAACTAAAACACCAGAATATCCTCAAAATCATCAGGATATGTCAAGAGAATTTTTATCCGCAGTTCAAATGATAGCTCAAAACTTCCACAAGAAAGAAATAATCTATCCAACATTTACTGGTAACGAGTCTGAAGATCCAACAGTGTTTCTGAAGAATCTAGAAGAACTGTTTCGTCAAGAACGTGTCAATATCAAAGAAAGAACAAACATTGCTGCTTCACTCTTAAAGGGCCCAGCACAACAATGGTATCAACCCTACAAACATATTGCCTTATCCTGGGAAATGTTTAAGTCACAGTTCATGGATGCATTTAGCAACACTGCAGTTATCGCTCACCTAACAACACAATTGTACGGAGAAAAACAGAAAACTAACGAGTCAGCCATCGTATTTATTACAAAGAAACAAGGATTATTCTATAGACTGATACCTCAAGCATCCGAAATACACCTTATTAATATTATAATGGAACAATTAGTGCCAGATATTCGATCCAGACTAAGAGGACTCCAATTTAACACTATACAAAAACTGTTACAAGTTGTTACGGCAATAGAAAAGGACCTAACATATACACATCTTAACCAGCAATATACTACAAAGGAATCTTCCATCGAAGACCTAAATAGAGCCACACAAAATAAGTTAAGGCAAGAAAACCGTCCACACAGTGCCTGTAAATATTGCGGAGCTTGGCATTTCCATAAAGATTGCAGTCGAAACCCTTATAACCAAAGATCACAAGAACAAACAGTTACGAGTAACAGAAGAGATCACGTTAATGGGCATCAACCAAATCAACAAGAACACAGTTCAGCCAATCATACACTACAGGAAAACGGAGAGGGAAGGACAGAAGCCTGTAGCTGGCCGTCCCTAAACATGTTTTCAGCAGGCAGTATATCGATCGCCGATCTCTCTCTAAACAAACTCCAAAAATTATGATTAAATTTAATAATGTTTACATAA